TGTGCACCATGGAACCATACCAGGGCATTCGGGGGCTTTAAATGATATAAGTTACGAATACCGTTAATCAAGTAAAAGCAAAAGCAAGTATGTAAGATTTCGAATAACTCAGTTTTGAACGATCCATCATGAGATAATAAAGTACTGAATTACCTCTGAAAAATTCTGTTGGTTGAGCGCTAGTGTGTGGATTTTGAAATGACCTTTGATGACATACATATCCTCACTTGAAATTACCGATTGTAACCCTACGTCATTAACAAAAATAGTCTGAAGTAACGATATGAGACTTGGTAAAATTTTTTAGTGGTTTGATCTACAACGCCGGCTAATATAAGGTAGAGAACTGTTTAACACTGGGAATCGCTGGACAACTGGATCGGTTTAGATTGGTTCTTGTTAGCAAATCAACGCACATGACCTTATATAAGAGGGAATCTATGCCCTTCAAAATTCACAAAGAGCACTGTAATTTTAAATGAGACCATGAACCAACCAATGTCGAACCACCATTGGAAACCTGGGAGAATTTGACGGCTGTTTTGTCCTAGTATGGAAATCAGTCAGTCAGTCAGTCAGTCAGTCAGTCAGTCAGTCAGTCAGTCAGTCAGTCAGTCAGTCAGTCAGTCAGTCAGTCAGTCAGTCAGTCAGTCAGTCAGTCAGTCAGTCAGTCAGTCAGTCAGTCAGTCGGTCAGTCAGTCAGTCAGTCAGTCAGTCAGTCAGTCAGTCAGTAACAACGTAGAACTTCGTATGTACGTACATCAGTTCGAGTTGCCACACCACATTAGCACAGAGATGCACTGGTCGATTCAAATCCCGTAGTGGTAGAAGTAATAAGAGTATAAGCAGTAATCGGGAAGATTAGGGTTTGGAGATGTTATTTAAAGAGTATAATCCAGTGAAATAAATTAAGGAAGAGAAAAAAAGACAAGGGGGAATAAGGAGATCAAAATTTGGGAGAACACAAAGAGTGGATGCACCTGCGCCACTGCAAACGAGTTTGAGCCATGTCATTCAGGGTCTCTAACCATCGGTTGCTATCATCTCGCGGTCCCCAACCAGGTAGTCTACACCTACCGACATGACGTAGACCACGAGTCAGTGACTTGTGCCAAGTTTTGGTTTGGCCGCCCCTAGCTCTCTTCCAACCTACTCCTATACCACTGAACATAGCACGTCGAGGCAGTCGGTCGTTGGGCATACATACCACGTATCCCAGCCATCTCAACTGATGAAATTTCACTACTTCATCAATTGATTTGCCATCCTTACCTAGTACCCGTTTCCTAACAACTGTGTTACTTACTCGATGGTCCCACGATATACGAGCAATGTTTCGAAGACACCCATGATCAAATACTAGTAACCTACGAATATCCTCTACTCTTACCGGCCATGTTTCACTGCCATAAAGTAGGACGGAACGAACTGCTGCACAGTAAACACGTCCTTTGGTTGATAGACGGATATCTCGCCTACGCCATAAATGACGCAAGTTGGCAAAAGCTAGTCGAGCCTTCTGTATCCGTGCTGAGATTTCGTCACACACTAAACCACAAGGGCTGATGAGACTTCCAAGATAAGTGAAGCGGTCGACACACTCAACTACTTCACTCCCTATCACTAGTTCGAGTGTCGATGTAACCCAATCCTGAAGCAACATTTTGCATTTCGAGGGAGAGAATCGCATCCCGAACATGTTTGCATTGTTGCTTAGAGTGGTCAGAAGACTCTGCATTTTGTCAGCGTCTTCACCAAATAAAACTATGTCATCTGCATATTCTAAGTCAACAAGTGAATCTCCCGGTAGAAGTTCAACCCCTGGAAATTTAGATGAGGAGAGTGTTATCTCTAAAAGTACGTCGACCACAAAGTTGAACAAGAATGGGGAGAGTGGACAGCCCTGACGAACACCACTTGAGGTAATCAATTCTGATGACAGTTCGCTATAAGCTCTCACTCGACCAGTTGTGTTCGAGTAGAGAGCCTGTACAAGGTTAATGTACTTCTTTGGTACTCCTTTCAGTGACAAACACTGCCATAGAACCTCACGATAAACAGAGTCGAATGCTGCTTTAAGGTCGAGAAATACTACGATTGTGGGGCTTCTGAATGTGTGTCTGTGTTCTAGAACCTGACGTAGTGTGAATATCTGGTCTGTACAACCACGTCCAGGTCAGAAACCAGCCTGATTTTCTCTAGTCTGCTCTTCACGAGATTTGGCTAGACGTCAAAGTATTATTGAAGCTAATATTTTAGACACTATATTAGTCAAACTGATTCCTCTGTGATTGTCACAAGAGGACTTTTGTCCCTTCTTATAGACTGGCACAATCAGTGATTGAGACCAGTCAGATGGGATTACGTCCAGTACCCAAATTCTACCTAAGACCTCAGTTAATCTCACTGCTAATACTGGACCATCATCCTTAAAAATCTCAGGAGTAAACCTGTCAGGGCCTGCTGCTCTCCCTCGTTTCAGATTTCCTATGGCTTTTTCAACTTCGTAAAGAGACGGAGGACCTACATTAACTTGCCATTCAGGTTGACTAGAGATCGTGGGAAACCGAAGTGTGGCTGAAGGCCAGTTGAACTGATCCCTGAAGTATTCTTCCCATCGATCCAATCTCCTGGAATGAGAATGTGTAATATGTCCATCTTTCTCTGAGATTGTTTCGCTAACAGTCGGTTTCCTAATACTGGTTTCTTTAACAAGTCTGAACAATTGTCTGCTATTACCTATTGCCGCTGCCTTTTCCATCTCTCTTGCTTTCGCTGCCCACCACTGTTCACGATCATTGCGTAGACTTCTTGTCAGCTTGCTCTTAAGCTGATTTCGCTCTTCATTATGTTCAGAGCCAGGTGGAATGAGTTTCCGAGCATCTATCATAGCGATAGATGCTGCTGAGATCCAGTGTTTCTCCCTAACCTTACGGGTTACCGTACTAGCAGATATCACTGCTGTTTCCACAGCTTTTCGGATATCGTTCCATGCTGCCTCGGGGTGGGCATCACCTATATGGCTGCCCAACTGTTTTCCTAGTTGTTCCTGAAATATACTCTTAGCTTGACTATCATTAAGTAGGGCCCTAAGACGTTTACTTGCAGCGTCTTTCCTACGTCCAGTAAGACGCAGACAGATACGCGCTCGTACTAGAGCATGATCTGAATCTAAGCATGTGCTCCAGAATGAGCGACAGTCTTCTATCGAGCCCCTCCATCGGTGGCTGATAGCGATGTAATCTATTTGGGTCCAACGTTGGGACGAATTAGGTGGTCGCCATGTTAAAAGATGTTTTTCCTTATGCTTAAAGTTAGTATTTGCAAGAAAGAGGCGGTTATCTGAGCATAGCTGCAACAGACGGTCGCCATTATCTGTTCTTTGAGCCACGACACCATAAGATCCACCTAGGTGTCTTTCTCTATCGCTTAGTTTACCTACTTGAGCATTAAAGTCACCGGCCACCATCACTACATCCGAGCGCCTAGCTTTTCGGAGAAGGTCGGAGAGCTTTCTGCAAAACTCATCTTTTACATCGTCCGAAGCTGCAGTCAGTGGGAGAATAGGCAGAAACGACGAAAAGGCAACGACGAGTGTCCCTATCTTTCCGGATCCTTACTATTCCGTCCAGTCGGACAGCCCACAAATGACTGTCTACTGGGATCCACTCTAGGAGAGCTAGTTCTGCCCTAGGACTCAATGCTATACCTACGCCGGCGAGGCCACGGGAAGCAGAATCAAGGCTTCCAGGTACACGAAGTGTGAATCGAGTCAGTTCTTTATTTTGGCATGGTGAGGTCAAATGGATGACGCTACTCGGATCCTGTATGCGCGTTTCGGAGACGCAGCACACATCGATGGCGCGGAATTCTAAAGTCCTAGCTAAGGAAGCCTGCTGTCCTATTTGGCACAGTGTTCGGACGTTAAAAGCTCCTACGTGTAGTTTAGAGCGTGATTTCAGGAGACCAGGAATAGCGTTCCACGTACTCGAATCGTTTGCCCTAGCGGTGCGAGGTGATAAAGAGACGTGAGGAGGGTTAGTCATGGAGATAAGAGAGGTATTAGGTGTGGGAAGGATTTGAATGTGACCAACTTGGTCTCGTGTACTGTTACGGGTATGAGGGCTGATGTCACTTCCCGGCTGCCCACACCGTGGAAGGATATTTCTTGAGGAACCTGAAAAGGAAATTGGACTAGTGTTGGTCTTGACGACCTGGGAGCGTGACCGCAGAGCCCAAGGGATAACTGCTTGAGGCCGGTCGCGCACGGCCCTTTTGTGGAAGGTTTTTAATGTGTTAGCTCCGTTCTTCAAAGGGCCTTACCGCCGGAGACGGAAATCCGTGAGGTAAGGTGAGGTGTGACATTTTTAGGGTCGACCTTTTCTGACCCCACCCCTCCTTGTGGGAAGGCAGCATCACTGTCATGCTGGTTGTCCGAGGGAAACACCTTACTGCTGTCACACCTCTCTACAGTCGGCAGTACGACTTCGCCCTCAGACCTTGAGTTGCTGCTTTTAGTCTTACCGTTCACCAATCGACCTGCCTGGCATGGTAGAACCTACAGGAACATATGTTCCAGCCAATATAGCTCGGTTGGGTCATCACGATAGGCAAGCTCGACCACCGCGTCAAGGTATCAGCTTCGGTCGGGAAATCCCTAGTAGTGTGCATCCACGATCCCGCATGTAAGACTGAAACCCACGAGATTCGATCATGTGCGAACGCTTAACCAACGGTGTTAATATCTAACTTCAACCAATCTACAACACTGGGCGACCATCTTCCATTGTCTTCAGCAGGTAAGTGGCTCACACTCGACAAAGTTACATTATAATTATAAACCACTGAATCGGAGTACGATACAGTACTTTTCACCCTTTAGTTCATGATGTCATTTCGACTATCTAAACTATATTCATGTGTATCTTATCTCTTTTTAAACCATTTCCACTTAACAAATGAATCAGTTTGACTAAAAAACAAAAAAAAACAGATCATAATAAACTTCGAAATTATTATTTTTGTTTCTGTGATCGTTTAATGAAAAAAAGGACTTTACAAACATTCAGGGTGATTAGTTTCCATGTAGTTTTTTTATTTTTTAAAAATTGTTTCTTTCAATTGTTTTTTCTTACATAATCCAATAGACAAACAAACTATATTTTAATTAAACTATTGAGGAAATCTAATCTAAATTTTATCATAAACAGAAAATAAAGATCAACTGGGAGTTTTGTTTTGTTTTTTAAATATTCTTTAGAAACAATTAAATGAAAAATTTGCTAAAACATAAAGAATAGAAGATTTTATAGAACAGGATAAAATTTGAGAATAAAGACAGAGGCAGAGAAAGACAGAGAGAGAGAGGGGTGGGGTGGAATTATGCTTGAGGATATATTGGCACTGTTGAACTAATAAAAGATATTCATTTATATGGAATGATTTCAGTTTACTTTAAAACGATCTGTTAACAAATATATCTTAGCAACAATAATAATAGTACATAGAGTGTATTATTAATTACAAATAATTCTAATGAAATCTTAAGGAAATCAAAGAGAGGGGGGGGAGGGAAAAAAGGAGATGATTAATTTAATGGCCCCAGAATCTATAAATTATTATATCTGTATAAATAAGTATAGTTATCGATGAAGAATGAAAAATAAAAAGAAAGATATATTTGTATATATTTTCTTTTTATAAAGAAAAAAAAAGGGGGGGTAATTACTAATTAGATAGATCGATAAGAGGACTATAAATTGATTCAATAAATATTATATAAAGAATTAGGCTATTAATACTCATTACATAACAAATCGTTATGGAATATTTTCTCTCTTTTTTTTTGAGTAATGAAAAATTGTTCAAAGATATGTGTTCATGGAATAGTTCTTTTCAATATCTATGAAATAATTCACTTTAAAATTTACATAGAATAATAATAATAATAATCTAAGTTATTAAATGTTTGCAAGTGTTTAAATGATTATAGATAACTATTAATGAAAGGAAGAAAGATAGATAGGTAGATAGATAAATAGATAGATTTGTAATTGAAGAAAATAGTACCTCTAATCTACTTGTTAAATAGAGAAAGATGTAATAGATATTATTATTTAATAATTGTAATCAATATTACTGCTTTATCTCTAATTCACAAACACACACACACATATGTATATAGGTGTGTGTATATACTCTATTACCATAGGTAAATTGGTGACCTCTTAGACCAATCCATTTGTACTTTACGAGGCAAGAATTATATAATTCATATAAAAAAATAATGCGAGATAGTTCATTTTGTTTTTATTTTGTTTTTTCTTTTTGATGAAAAGTATATAATTTGTAATATGTTAGTTGCTATAGAAAAAATATGTTTTAAGAATGATATAATGTATGTATATGTATATATATATATATATTTCTGGAGGGGGGGGTTAGTTAATAAAAGAACATTCTCTATTCATTTATTTCTATGTATAAATGAGCATTTGATGTAATCACTATCGTTTTATTAAATTCGATGAAATCATATTCAAATTAGATTGTATCCGATCATTATTAGTTTTATTGAATCCTGATTGTTGTATAGATTTATTGATTTCTTGTGAGGATTTAGATTTTGTTCGATTATTACGTTCATTATTTTTATTATTATGATTACTGCTACTACTAATACTACTGCTACGATTAGTTAATTTGTCAAGTTTAGATCCAATTAATTTATTATTATTGTTATTTATATTCTGTGCATTATCTAATGGTGTAGAAGAAGATGATAAACTTTTTCGTCTTTCTTGTTGTTGTTGTTGTTTTTGATTATGATTATTATGATGATGATGGTGATGATGTTGTGCATTCGATGCAATCATTCCAAATAATTTATACCAACCAAATACAACTGTTTTTAAATCTAAATCATCAAGAACAATTTCACACATTCCTAAAAATACTTTCTTATCCATACGTCCATATTCACCCCATACACTGATCTATATAATGTTAATAAATAATCAACAACAACAACAGAAAAGAGATGTGAAACTCGTAATCATGACAATAATGATAAAATAAAACAAGTTTTCATTATAAACTGATGTTGATTAGGTAATAAGTGAAGATTGGAGAACACTGAACAGTTTCATCATTCTAGATTAAACTTACTTACTTACTTACACCTGTTACTCCCAATCGAGCATAGGCCGCCAACCAGCATTCTCCAACCCACTCTGTCCTGGGCATTCCTTTCTAGTCCTATTCAATTGTTGTTCATTCATCTCATATCTGTCTCCGTTTGTCGGTGTAAAGTGTTCTCTGGTCTTCATCTCCTCCTCCATTGGCCTTGAAGATTCCAAGTGAGGACTTGCCTTGCAAAACAGTTGTGTGCTTTCCTCAATATGTGTCCTATCCACTTCCAGCAATTCTTCCTGATTTCTTCCTCAGCTGGAATTTATTTTGTTCTCTCCTACAGTAGATTGTTGCTGATAGGGTCTGACCAATGAATCCAAAGTATTTTGCATAGACATCTGTTAATAAACACCTGTATCTTCTGGATGATGGCTTTCGTAGTTCTCCAAGTTTCAGCCCCATACAGTAGAACAGTCTTGACATTTGTATTGAAAATCCTAACCTTGGTGTCGGTTGACAGTTGTTTTGAGTTCCAGACATTCTTCAGTTGTAGATATGCTACTCTTGCTTTACCGATCCGCACCTTCACATCTGCATCAGATCCACCGTGTTCATCAATGATGCTGCCCAGATATGTAAAGGTTTTTTCATCTTTCCGAGCTTCTCCGTCAAGTGTGATTCGATTGGTGCATGTTGTACTGTATCGGAGAATCCTGCTTTTCCCTTTGTGTATATTGAGACCTACTGCTGCTGAGGCTGCCGCTACTGTCAGTCTTATTTTCAATTATGATAACTATTCCACTCTCGATATTGTTGAATTCCATTGATTAACACTTCTCAACAAAACATCAGTAATCTATCTTTGAGTTAGTCATTATTCAATAAACAACTATTATTTAACTGAGGGAATGATTGGGAATAGTTCAAAGTGAACGGAGATTCCTCCACAACTTGATATTAGCTAAGGCACTAATGAGAAACAAGAAACACTAGACAAGCACTAAAACAACTGAGATCTAGTCAGGTATCAAATTCACGGTCTTCAGGTATCATGGTGGACACATAGCATTCAAACCACCAGGTTAGAACCTTAAATTATCTTGAAAATAGAACTAATATATAAAACTTGCCAATTAGTATTGATTGCTTAAAGTGTTGAGATGTAATATCTGCATTCGAAACATCTATTTTGGTATTAGCGAATAAGAGTGTTTGGTTAAGTGAAGATGGCTATTTTCAATAACCAAGCTCTTTAGGCTGTACCGACAGTTGACAATACAAATACTTTAAAGTTGAAACTTTCTTTATAAGAAATCTATACAAAAAGTTCGGCTGATAAGTTTCGATTGTCGTGTCCCCGCTATTAGACAGAGAAACTTATTTATATATTTTTATGCGGATACACAGAATTCGCTCATTCGAGGTTGCGCAAGATAATTTATCAAAAAATAACATTAAGGGAAAACAAGTATTCATCAATACTATAAATGCAGTTTATTTACAATGTACGCTATCATGTAATCATCTTTGATTAATTTTTCAGTTCTGAGGGTCACTGATACCAGACGGTCTCATAAACCAGAGTATACGAAGAAGGATACAAAACTACGACATGATGGTTTAAAGCCAGAAAATGTAACAAAAAACACTTAACTGTATCCACCAAAACTCCTAGACAAGAAATGTGATTCACGTCTCAAGGTAAATTACTAAGGTATATGTCGTGAAATACAGTATATGAAGTCGACTTTAAAAGTGATTCAGCTGAAGAAGTTTTAAACATATGGATCTCAGAGTAGTTCAGAATCACACTCTTTGCAACAGCAATGAAATTAAAATTCCCAAACAGACCCATTTCTTCGGATAATCCTAAAGACAATGTTATACATTTAGTCAGATGAATGTAAGTGCATCAGGTCATGTGTTCAGTCAGTCAGGAGGCTGATTATGAATACAGTGGTCTTGAGTGCTGTTAGAAGTATGTGGGCACTTATCACTTCTCGGTTGCCCACACCGTGGAAGGGTTCCTCTGGAGGTACCTGAAAAGGAAATTCGATTAAAGGTGGTATTAGTGACCTGACAGTGTGACCGCAGTGCCCAAGGGAAAACTGCTTGAGGTCGGTCATACACGACGTTTTTGTGGGTAATTTTCGTCTTAGCTCCGTAATTATGGGACCTTACCACAGGAGACGGATATCTGTGTAACAATGCGAGGTGTGCATTTTTACGGTCGACCTTTTCTAACCCAACGCTCATTATGGGAGGGTAGCATAGCTGTCATGCTGGTTGTCTGAAGGAAACACCTTACTGCCATCACACCTCTGTACAGTCAGCAGTACAATTTCGCCCTCAGACCTTCGGTTTGCTGCCTTCAGTTTTACAGCTCCTCAACCGACCTGTCTGGCATGGTATAACCTTAAGGAACGATTGTTCCATCCAGTATAGTTCGATCACGATAGGCAAGCCCGATCACCACGTCAAGGTAGCAACGACGATCAGGAGTTCATCTGTTACTGTAGATATAATTATTCCGATCATTCGATATGAATTCCATCCAAGAATATTTAAGAACCGTATAATATCCGAAAGAATATTTAAGTTAATATACCTCTAGTAATGAAAGTGGAAAACAAAGGTTTTCCTGTTGAAATTCTCTTCATTCGATAACGTAACTAGCGGACTCAGTTATTGAAGTTAACTAGTAATTACACTTAATCACAATGAGTTTATTTAGTTTCTTTTTTGAGGATGACTGTCAGATTTTTCTGTTTTACAGGTTTATCGAACAAGTTTACATGTAAATTCAACCATTTCTATTTTTGAATAACGAGAGTCCCAACTAAAAATATCTTGAACCATAGTAAATAAAGCTTATAAGCAACATTGAATTCATTTTAATTAGCTTTCTATGAAAAGTTATGTTAAAAAAATCTGGCTATATGTAAATTTATCATGGAGTTAATCAGCAACTCTTAAAATGCTTAATCAAATCTATTTATGTAATCTGTGAATCTTCAGTTAAGCCAAATGTGTTGTCGACCATAACTACCCCCCATCACCTTCGCCTACATGAACATTAATTAGCAGTCAAACGCCATGATATCTCTTCACTTATATCAATACACGTGGACAACTGCGGACACTCATTCGATTGGAAAAATGTGGAAATCTTAGACAGAGGAAACTCCAAAAACACCAGAGAATTTTTAGAAGCCTGGCACTCAGGTCAATCAGCAATCAACATATATATTGAAATCAATCCAATTTATCAACCAATCATGCGCTAATATAGGGACAAAATCAAACCAATGGGAGACACAACCAAAACAAAGAAGTAAACAATGACAAATTTAAGGACAATAAGAACCAATCAACATCGAGGTTCACAGAACAAGCTGTGAAACACATATGAAGAAATTCGAACACTTCACTTCTATCTGAAGTTTGTGCTGATGATGTCGTTCAGAAGGACGATGAAAGCTCCACGACCAAACCATCCAGCTCAAAGAACAAACTCCACCTGAGCTACAAATCCTCACGACCATAACTACAATTATTTTTATGACTATGTTTTTTGTGAGCTGCGACATATTACTTATTGATAACAAGTAGTTTGAGTCATATTCAAGCAGTCCCAGTGATTTATTGTAAACAATGATATTCACCTAGCCATATACTCTTAATTCAATATTAGCTGAATTCTTGTAATTCTCTTTCCCTAAATTCGATTTCATTGTGCATAATGCCTGAAAGATTTTTTTAATTATGAAAAATAATGTTGAATTTATTTCCGTTCATTACTGATGTAACCTTCTGATTTGAATTACATGTAATTTTAGTCTTATTTACGATACATTTTCCTCTTGCTTGTGCTTTACATGGTATAACTAACTTTCATCAACTTACTAATTTGAGATCGAAAAAAATTCTTGATATTTACCCTGTTTTACATTACAGGATCTTACTCTTGATCATATTTTCTTGGTTAGAGGATTCATATACGAAATTCAGTCACTGAATTAGAATATTCACACTAATTCTAAATACATAGTATTAATTTCAATAGTTGAGATTATGAATCAATTGAATCAAGACCACCATGGAAAACCTGGAAGCCCTGAACGGCCGTTTCGTCCTATTATAGGACTCCTCAGCAGTGCGTACCCAATACCCCGCCTCGCGGGATTCGAACTCAGTGCTTCCAGGTTTTTGATGGTGGTCTAGCTTCAATTGATTCATAATCTCAACTACTGAAATTACTAGAATCTCCACAAAACACCTTCTGATACATGGTATTAAGTAAAATATAATAAGAAAAGGAAATTTGTTGCTCACTTGAAGAATTTTTCCATGATACGGAACTGAGAAACATAATTGTTGTTGATAAAGTGGATCCAATGTACGTCTTGGAGGATACATTGTTCGTAATTTTTCTACAGATTGTTTACCTTCCAATAAATGTAGTTTAACATATGGAGCTGGTAATGGCTTAGCTGTATTTTTTTGTTGTAAACCTCTAGCACGAATTACTTCAACTTCTAAATGACCTTTCCGATCATAAAAGCTTAATTGTATTTCTCCAAGACAGGGCATTCCAAGTACTTGTCGTCCAACTAATTGTCCTGGACCAAGACCTTCAACAAATTCTCCAACGTGAGATTCATTACGACCCATATAAACACTGGGGAAAAAAGAATATGTATCCAGAAAGATATTCATTTATTAACTAATCATATCATGTAACACGGCCTGTATTCAAGTGTTTTAATCTTATCACTTTATATTCAAAATAAACTAAGCCGGTTTACATTGAGTGAGTAGGGAGTAGTAACCAGTGTCACGGTTGCTTAGTCATCAGTAATGATTGGATTCTATCAATTCAGTTTAAATATGGTCACTACCGTAAGTTATTTAACATTGTATGTACTATGTTTTGATATCGTATTTTTGGAAACCTTAGATCTAGGTTTCGTGCTATTCTGCATTCATCCGTAAGTATTATCTGCGATAATAATGGAATTGATGATCTATTACTGACAAGGCCTAACTAACATGAAACGTAAGATTAAAGCTTTTTAACGATTACCTCCAACTACTAAACCTAAAACTAAGGTAGTTTTGTATTGTTCCTATACTACTTACAATAGTCCACTAATTCATTTACTGTACTGGTCGGTAGGTCAAACTGATTTTCATTATTACAAGTTTCCAATGCTAACAGTAAATATGTAGTCCTAAGTACTCTTAATTATTTAGATTAATAATTATGTGATTACATAAGTGAATAATTAATAAGTAAAACGATAGCACACTATTACAATCATTTAAATAGCATACAACAATAGTTTGATATACACGTAATAAAAACATGCTAATTAGTTAACCAAAAGAAGACAACTACCCAGGATTCAAATGAACCCTTTTATGTTTCCTCTTAGTATGTGTAACTTTAATTTAATCAAATTAATGTTTTCTTTAAGCAATAACTCGTGTAGCAACAGCCTTTGAATCAGTAGGCCTCAACATACACAAAGGGAAAACCAAGGTCCACAAATACAACACGGTGAAGACCAACCCAATCACACTTGATGGAGGAGCTGTGGAACAGGTGTAAAGTTTCATGTATCTGCGTAGCATCATTAAGGAGCAAGGAGAATTCGATGCAGACGGGAAGGTGAGGATTGGAAAGAAAGGACAGTGTTCCTACGGTTGAAGAAATATGGAACTCAAAACAACTGTCAACCAATATAAAAATCAGGATCTTCAATACAACGTCCAGACGTTTCTACTGTACGGGTGCTGTTGGGAGGCCTATGCTCCTCCATGAGGAGTAACAGACGTAAATAAGTAGATAATAACTTAATTCCACATAGCCTTATCCGAAATTCATCAGCTCTCTAGATTAGTCAATTCACAAACAATATACAACTACCAATGTATCTGTTAAGTTGTAAAGATCACTTTCGAATATTATTATCGTGAATGCGCACGGCTGAGGAGTCCCACAATAGGACGAACGGCCGTCTAGTGCTTCCAGGTTTTCAATGGTGATCTAACATCAATTGGTTCATGATCTCAATCAAAACTTAAAAATCTCCACAACCCTAAACTGATATATTAGCAAGTAAATTTAAGGATTTATAAAATCAACAATTTTCTTATTGAATCTTCAGTTAAGGCAGTTTATTGTAGGAAACCATAAAGAATTATAGAAAATAAATTTGGCGAGACTAGAATTTATGGACAAACTAATCAGGTATAAGATAACAGGTCATGGAATTTGGCTCAAAATTCACTCATTCATTTGGTTAAATACAGTTTCAGCATTCCAGTTGATATCAGTTCGTGTTGTAAACATTAAATCTAATTCCTAACCATAACCATCAACTGTAAATCGTAATCCTTATTCTTCAAATTGCTTCTTAACTCTCATTAGCCCTGGTAAGTAGTAGACACTTCAAGGTCAGTCCAGAGTAGCTCAAAGTCGTCCATAAATTATGATCTACCGTATATTGTACTGATGACCTTGAGCAATTTATTAACCAATCGAGAATAGTGAGTAGTGATAAAACAATTAACAATAAAAAGTAATAAAACTACTGTGGAATAATGTTTTGGATATAAATAAATATTCAACATGTTAAATTATTCAAATGCCCTGGTACTACCGAGGGTGGGGAGAATCAGTTCTTCCTCTCGAAATGCTCTCACATGGCCACGTGCATACACCACTGTCAGGGAAATCCATTCACTGCCCTCTCACTGCATTACTATTGTTTACGAAATTGAGAGGATAAAAAGCGAGTGTCCGGCGCTTTAACCGGGTTAGTGGATATGGAGGATCCACCAAGGGAAGTTGAAAAACCCTGATTCCAAACTAATGGTACACATGGACTCCAGAATCCTGAAGGAACAAATATCGTATGAACCAATCATCGGTCACCAGCTACCATGACCATCGGACTGCATCTCCTTACGTTGCTCCACTGTCTGGTGGGTCAAACCTTTAGGTCGAAGGCTCTGGGTGTGACCCCTTAAGAAAACCACCTGCTCCGGTTTGGGCACATGGGCAGTATCACAGCACACACACAAATCATGTTAGCTGTGTGACACATATGGTTTCAGTGAACCTATGTACCAATATTTACGTGTTCAAATGAATAAATAAATAAAAGTTCATTACAGTAATGAAAAAAAGATTAATTTTAGATATTTTGAGTTAGGCTAACGTTGTAAGTTAGGAATATAAACCTAGTGGGTGTTCTTCACCAAATGGAATTAACTAAAGTACGAAAAAATAGGGTTAAATAATAAGTTTATGATTTTAATGAAATTCAATAATCTTCACAACCTTAGACCGAAAATTATCATATGTTCACTAAAGACTAGCATCGAGAAGGAATTCTCAAGGTTCTAGTGAGGATCTGTGATCAATGGAATTCAGCCGTATCGGGTGGGAGGCAGTTACCCATCGAAGACAATAGAATGTGGTCGGTCAATATCGTGGATTGATTGAAGGTGGACATTAACACCGTTGGATACCGGCTTAGTGGTATAGGATTTTAACGTTCGTGCGTAACTGAATGTCCTGGGTTCGGATCCCATGTGCGGGGTCGTGGATGCAAACTACTAGGGAGTCCCATACTAGTAAGAAATAGCCGTTCATTTCTTCAGAGTTTTCAATGGTGGGTTTACACTGATCGGCTCATGATTTCAATGAAATTAAATTATAGAAATCAAACTAGGGCTGTGTATTTGAATTACAAATCAAGTTTAGGGTACTTATCATGAATTGAAATTAGCTATAATGCAATAATGCTTTGCCACTCTTTTGTTTACAGACTTAAAAAGACTTGGGGTTGATAGTGATAGTCAAGAGACAGAACAAGAAAATGCTTACTAATTACACAAACATTCTTGACTATGCACTGAAACACACCAAGTACTTTAACACACAATCTGCATCAGAACCAAGTATTTTTTATGATCTAACTCAAGCATTATTTCATATTTACTTTTTAGTTGGATTGTATATATGTTTTTTTTATCAATTTCAAGAATTTTAGTGACCAACTATTAATATTTCTGTTTAGTTAGCAGAAATATACATAGCATGGCCTTAGTTTTGATTGATTTATCCAGGGCCATCGGCATAGTGTACTTCGTAATGTCTTGACAAAACTAACCAATATCACATGCCTAGTCAATAAACAGAAATCTGATTCAGATTTGATCTATTTTAGATCCACTATTTCCTCGACCGCCTAGTGTCCCCAAATGAAGCAATAACACGCCCGTTCAGCACTATTGACCTTGAGCTGACAACTATTTCCTTGTTGCTCCGTTATTAGCAAGCTTCTGTCTATGTTCTGTCTTGAGTTCAAAAGTAGAAACTAAACTCCACCATATTTATATTTCAGATAGAATTGGCCTATACACAGACATACATGATTGCATTATACAAAAAAATGAAAAAATAACAATTATAAATGAACAATCCCAAAGTCTCTGGGAATAGGGTATAATGTAAGTAATAGACTGGAAGCAACCTAAGAATAGTAAACCATATGATATTAGTAATATTAATAAAAATAATAGATTTGTGGAAAAATTAAGTTTTTAAATTTTCTGACGTTTCGCAACTCAGTGTAAGTGATTTCTTCAGAGGATAAAAAAATCAATGATTTATTTCCGGAAATTACCATTACAATGTTCGTTGTGATATAATAACTTTCATCATTGATCACCATTTAAGATTTGATAAATATCGTTAACAAACCACATTTCTCAAACAAATTTGATGTCAACTAAATTCAATTAGTGTTATTGATATGACAAAATTAACGTAACTTCGATACACTTAGGAGATCAACATTACAAATAACAAACTGATGGTTAATTTGATTGTCAAGATATTTTTTATACGAAAACTAGGAATAAATGAATGCAGTTGACAGCGGTAGAGAATATGTTCTAATATATTTTGATGGAGTTTTGTTCTCTGAGCTGGATGGTTTGGTCGTGGAGCTTTCATCGTCCTTCTGAACGACATCATCAGTACAAACTTCAGATAGAAGTGAAGTGTTCGAATTTCTCCATATGTGTTTCACAGCTTGTTCTGTACACCTCGATGTTGATTGGTTCTTATTGACCAAACCATTTAGCTCAGAGAACAAAACTCCATCAAAATCATCCACCTGAACTACAAATCTTCTCCGCCATGTTCTAACGTAAATTAAAACCAAGGATTATAATTCTAGATAAGAGTACAGTTGGAAAACAATTTGTTATAACGCTCGGTTTTACTTCGTCTAATGTTATAACGGTTGGGTTTACACGTTTACACGTATGGGACGTTAATTTACCTTAGACGAATATCTACACTAGATTCTCTCTCAGTGTCTGTTCTACAGGACTTCAACACAACTCAGATGATCAAGAACATGTGATTAACCTGACCACAACGTGAATATATTTCCACACCAAAACTCGACACAATCCATCAACAATGAACAATCAATAATAAGTGAGTAATAATAATAAGGATAAGGGAATATATAACTCATCTGACACCTGTCAGACTATCTACATGTCTGAGTGAGCAGACAACCCATGATTATCATTCTCGCCCACACATCACAATTAGATTCCATTATAATACAACACCCAGTTGAAATTGGTTGCGGTATTAACTTTAAACCGATCTATCTTCGCTTACATCAGTACATATGGACAACTGCGGGGATACGTTTGATAAGAAAAGTGTTAAAAACTTGAGTATAGACAATAGAAGGAACAGAACTTTTAAAAGTTAAGCGCTCAATCCAGTCAACATATTGTAATATATCCAACTTCTCAATCAATTAGAAAGTCAAAAGTCAGGTTAAAAAGGATGGAAGATGATCAAAATAAATATCTAGAAAATGGCTGGACAAGTGTTAATAACAACTAATCAAAACGTCCTATTAGTCACTTGTAGAGAAATTATAATACCTCACTTCTATTTGAAGTTTGTGCTAGTAGTGTCTAGGTAAACAATGAAAGCTTCACAGTTAAACCGTTCAAGCTAAGGGAATCTAAATTAACCGTAATTTTAAAACATCTTTCAAATACTTATCATGAAACTGTCCAGTTCATATTGTTAGATTTGTAGAAAACTTAGTTATTGGAGTACTTTAATCCACTCTTAATGAAAGTGGTGATTTGAAAGCTTGTTATTCTTCTTAAATCGTATATTCTCTTAGTTTAATTTACATTCGATCTTTCTATGTTTTCATAGACAATGTCTTGACAAGTAAATGTGTTACTAGATTGTTCAAAGTGATTTAACTTCAATACAATACATTTTTTCAATTCGAATCACACAAATACTCTATTCATTTTGTATACACTATCTAAATTTACAAAATAGAAGTAATTAACTGTTTTACATTTCTTCAAAGTGAAAATCAGATTACTTCCAGTATAGTCAGTCAAGTTACTTATAATCAACACAGAGCCTGGAACAAATGTGTTTTGGGTCAAATTCTCAGACTACATCAATACAACCAGATGGAAATATCAAGATTAATAACAAAGCAGTTGTTATAACATGTCGCCCTGTGCCTTATTAATATATAACCGACCGGACCAATGACGCATAGACCCGTAAGAGCAATCTAGGGTATTTATCAGTCCTTCTTCCCGACTATCTCTGCCTGTTGAGTCCAGAACATCAATCTCAGCCTCCGCAATATGAACCATGTATTTCAAACATACTGGGTTTATATATAAACCAAACACACCACATCGCACAACAAAATAGAAAACAACATTTGTACAAGATCTAGCCAAAAGTGGCTGTGAATGTGGGAGACTGTAATTAATAGACTGGGCATAACTCAAGAACATGAAATCGTATAATAATAGTCTATGAGTCAAAATGAAGCTTATAATAAGAGGAACATGAATAAGCATAGTTTAGTTACGTAACAATTATACAATAAAAATACATGTATGATATTAGTCTATAAACAGATCCCAACAGTTACCATTCATTATTCCCGTCAGGATACACCAGTAGTAGAATCGTGGGTAGTGATATAATGAGATTATAACAATTATCTCTGTTTACTATATTATGCTAATATAATACGTTGATATAACGAAAAACCGAGATTTCGCTAGTACTTGACTGAATACTTTATTGATACGCTATACATAGATCTGATTCCGTTATATCTGATACAAAATTCACAGTGAGACATAGAAAATTAAAGGATAGGCTATCCGATAATTTGTACAGCACATTTATAAGTACTCTATACTCAGTCAGTTCAGAGCGAAAATCAATAACATAAAAGGAAATCACAAATCAAAGACTCAATAGTGTGTATGCCAGTTTACACGTAGTGAATAATCACTTTTACTAACCACAAATCAGATAGTAGTATTAGTGATAGTATCAATGATAGTAAAAAAGATTGAATATGATTTGTGAAGAAAAGATGAATTCATGAAAATATTTACCTTTCTTGATCAGTAGTATCTGAATTTGTACCATATCTAGAATTTCGACCGTCACTTTTTCCACTACTTATACTTGATTGACAATGCATCATTGATAATCTTCCATGACTAAATGATCCTTCTTGTTCTTGACCTTCAAATATAGCACCATATCCTCCAAATGGTAATACTTCTTCACTACGTTGGAAACTCGTTCTTGATTTTTTATCTAAAACCCAGGAAAGATATATGTAAACACAGAGGGTCTATGGAAATTATCTTATTTAGAGATAATTTACATCGTGAACATTGAATTTAGTTATATAACTAATAATGAATGGGAAGCAGTAAACTAGTTTTCCGCTAACATTTGTGACTCTTTAATAAATTGTACTAATGAACATTTCATTTTGGTGGAACGCCAACGTACAATCTGTCAAAAGAAATTTCACGAATACTGAGACATCTAGTAGATTCAGCCAACCACTCCATCAAATCTCCAACACAATTCCTGGACCAAATTAAGGATATTCAAATCAACAACGACGAACTCATGATATCCTTCGACTTAACAGCACTGTTCATCTCAATTGAACCACAGTTAGCAAAAGAAACTATATCCCTGTTGCTCAACAACGACACAAATCTCAATAAGTACACGAAGCTTCAAATCCAAAGTCTACTGTAACTCATCGATTTATGCCTAAAACATATTTTCAATTCAACAACAAAATCTACGAACAAACGAAAGGGACACCAATGGGATCACCAATATCAGGACTGATCGCAGAGGCAGTGATCAAGCCGAAAATTTGGATTCGCTATGTAGACGACACCTTCGTCATCGTCAAAAAGAATGAACTGGAAAAAACCTACAAACTGATCAACAACGTTCTCAATGACATCAAGTTCAGAATGGAACAGGAGTCAAACAACCAACTAGCATTCTTGGATATATTGATCACTAGAACTGACACAGGAAAACTGGAAACTCAAGTATATAGGGAACCGACCCATACAGATCAAATCCTCAACTACAACAGCAACAACCCAAGAGCTCACACATTATTCAAGAGGGCGAGGACACACTGGCAGCACGAAAAAATGAAGAGAAACACCTGAAGGACGTATTTCAAAAGAACAGCTACCCAACCAACTTCATCAAAAAACACCAACCGCACCCAGTATCAGAACCCAAGCCAAGCACAAAAATCAACAAAAGGATCACCCTACCGTACATACAAGGAATATCAGAAACCGCAACGAGACTGCTGAAAACCTTCGGAATAGGTGTGGCACACAGACCGACAAAATCACTACAGTCAATCCTATGCAAACCAAAGGATGAAATAACGAAAGAAAACAAATCAAACATCATCTACAAAATAAATTGTACCAACTGCGACAAACACTACATCGGACAAAGCGGACGCCTCCTCCACCTTCGCCTACATGAACATCAATTAGCGGTCAAACGCCATGATATCTCTTCACTTATATCAATACACGTAGATAACTACGGACACTCATTCGATTGGAAAAATGTGGAAATCTTAGACAGAGGAAACTCCAAAAACACCAGAGAATTTTTAGAAGCCTGGCACTCAGGTCAATCAGCAATTAACAAATATATTGAAATCAATCCAATTTATCAACCAATCAGAAAAATCATGCATAAATATAGGAACAAAAATCAAACCAATGGGAGACACAATCAAAACAAAGAAGTAAACAATGATGATTTTAAGGTCAATAAGAACCAATCAACATCGAGGTTCACAGAACAAGCTGTGAACCACTTGAGGAGAAATTCGAAAACTTCACTTCTATCTGAAGTTTGTGCTGATGATGTCGTTCAGAAGAACGATGAAAGCTCCACGACCAAACCATCCAGCTCAGAGAGCAAAACTCCACCAAAATCATCCACCTGAGCTACAAATCTTCTCCACCATCTCAATGAACATTTCAGTGGTCTAATATCGAAATTTCAGATCTCGGGATAAATCTCTTACCTTAAGTTCATTGATTTGGTATCAAGGGGTTGAATTTTTCAATCTTACACAATCCGCAATATAATGCGATGATCAACTTGTACCAGTTGGTGATACTAGTTTCATTCAAAAGATTGCTCTTTAAAACAGTTATACAATGACCTGAAGTGATGATGAAGAAACTTTTTAGTTCAGAAAGATTTTATAGATTTTGGGTTCTCTAGATTGAACAGTTTAATCGTGAATCTTTCATTACCTTTCTAGACGATATCCGACAGTTGTTTACCCAACCCAAACACTAACACTCCATACGCATAGTGAATCCCGAGTAGAAATCCATCTTTTATACATAAGAATGACCTATGTAGTCGTTTACATGGAGAAGTCTGTCGTTGCATATTGACCAATCATATTTCAGTATCACACGACACATCAATAAATTAATGAAAGAAACTGTAACAGCGTAACTATATTAGTTTATAATACACTACCATAAATTTTACCCACTCTTAATTAAGTTTCTGTATGAATCCGTCAGAAGCGTATTTTATCGATAGGATATGATTGACAATTAGCACAACAAACATACACTGCAATACTATTAATGGAATTGAATTTGAGATACCACCATTTGAAGTTACTTTTGTTTATCTAATTATGCCTGGTTTAAATCGATTTTTCTTCATCATTCGAAAAACTTTAGCCACTCAGTGAATACGATTATCAAGATTTTCATCATATCCGGTGACTCAACGGCGTAGATGAAAGAAAATAGAAACCAATGTCGTGCCTTGGCAAGCATAGTAAACAATTATTACCATTTATACAACGTTCAGGTCATATTAAATATTTACTTCCTACAATCTAAGGTAACTCCGCCTGGAGTCCCTCCGGGGGCTACTGCCGGTCCCAAGCCCGGATAAGGGAGGAGGGTTGGGCATGGAGTTAGCGTCCCCATCTCGTAAAAAACTAACTCGCTAAAAAGCGCTAACCAGAAAAAAATTATTCAAACTTAAACAATCTAAGGTGTAAGCCAATCCAAGCCACATGATGCCACTATTTACTAAAGCCAATAATCTTTACAACAAGCTTTACATGAAATATGTCTTCACTACGTAACGTTGATAAATATTGACTTGTTTTCCAAGGTATTTCTTTATTTCCATATGGTAACAATAAAATTTGTCCAACAAAATCAGCTCGCGTAGAAGTCATGTTTTTTTAATGTCAATTGACCATGTCTGTTCCACTTAACTCAATAAAATAGAATCAGATATATAAATCTCATGCATGATTAGACAATAATATCATTCAATTAAGTTTGACAAGTACACAACAGTCACCTTTGTTCATTATGTTAGGAAAGTCTTACAGTAATTTGTCGTTAGGATCAATAACTAAGTGTTTTTCGTTTACAACCCTCTTGGGAAACTAACCACCAGTTTGTAGACATAACTACTTTCTTGAACTTACAGAATACTACAACTATTTATCACCCTTTTAAATCATATTATAGACAAGTGATATATTTTATAATAATAAAGATATCAACTTTTCAGTGACCAATTTATCTATAATTTAAAATCTTAATTACCTAAAGTTGATGTACTGCTACTCTTATTGGATCGGCCAAGGACATTAGAAAACTTTTGGCCTATATTCGGTCGTCTTTTCCTACCATCCACTTGATCTCTATGAACATTTTGAGCTATTTCAAAATTAGATACTTTATTCTCTATTAAAGATCGTGAAACTTGACCACCTCCATAATCATCAGCTGATGTTATCCTTGGACTAGAACCACTTTCAAAATTTCTATTATCTTTTGCAATTAATTCATGTTGTTCTTCATCTTCAGTAGGAACAATGATATCTTTTTCTATCCTATTTGAATCTCTTCTAGCTCTTGTTGATTGTTCAACAGACGGTAGAAAATTTTGATCTAATCTATCTGGTTTTTGTACATTTCTAGAATGTCTTTCATTATAGGATTGTGTAGGAGTTTCAAATTGTTGACTTCCATTACGTGATGTTTGTATTGATTCCATACGTTGACGATCTGATTGACTTGTATGTAAACTCATCCTAGATATTTCAGAAAGATCAGAAAATTCTGAAGCATCTGATTGAATAGCATTCTCCTCTAGGCCACCGTATTCAAAATTTTGAGCACTGAAAGATTAGAAGAAAGCAATCACATTATTAATAAACGTTTCCGGTAAATTAATGTAGAAATAATTGTTTTATCCACTATATACTACCTTTACAGTTAATCATAAGAACTCTATCACTTGATCCATGCATGCGTTGATTCAAGTTGAAACATAATATCAACACAGAGAGATGAAATTATGTAAACAAACACTAGAGTAGTAGGAGTAGCAATAGCATCAATGGCAGTACAAGAACATTAGATACAGAAGATGTGAAATAGCTTGCCCAACCCTTTCGGGCCAGGTTTGCAGACTCTGTGGCAACGTAATTGTAGTGCACGTGTGGCCCTGGATATCTAAGGGCATTCCGCGTGCAGGACCGTGGATGTGTACTGACGAGGAGTCCCATCCTAAAACGAAACGGCTTTCCAGTTCTACCAAGTTTTCAATGATGGTCTAACATTGATCGGTCTGTGGTTTTAATCAAAACAGACAATATGATTTGAGAAAAAAGAAAAAAAATGCATGGAATAAAGGATATGAAATAGTTTTCGAATTAAGAATCCAGGTGAAGACAAACACTGAATCCATCTTGGCCATATCACTCAACGTCTCCAACCATTGACCTTGTTAATCGACAGAACTCTAACCAATTAGTCTATATCAAACAACATCTATCTTTGTAAACTACATTTGTAGCGATGATATTAATGCTATTAATAACGATTCTTTTTTAAAAAAGAGTGGACGTAACAAAGCAAAGACAGATTTTAGGAGATTCCATTAGACAATATATGAAGTAACATACCTAGGATGTAGCCTTGAACCACGATGATGCCCTTCAGTTCCATCTCGATAATATTCATGATCAGTAAATTTCCTATTCTGTCTAATAGATGCAGAAAATCTCTGTTCATCAATATCAGAATAGTCATCTCGTATGGATTTCAATTTTCTAGTATTATCATCTGGTATATCGGAATGACGATACTCAGATTTCGGTGACCATTGTTGTTCTGATTCACGATATCTTGATTTAATTGGTCTTTCTGGAACTTCTATAGAAATGATATATATATATATATATATATATATATATATATATATATATATATATATATATATATATATAGGGAGAGAGAGAAAAGTAGAAATAGTAATTTATTGTGTTGTATAGTTATGGGTTGTATGCCAGTTTACATAAGTATCACTATACAATGCTAAGATAATAAATAACTTATCATTATTTCAAAATTTATGTAATAACTATAACTGCTTTTTGCACCTCAGGGTAACAAAAATAAAGAACTACCAGATAAAATAACTATCAAGTAACAACGATACACCTCCATGGACTAAGAATATGTGCAGCGTGGACACACGCAAATAGTCAAGTGATGAAAGTCCCACTCACCCAATGTTACATATCTTTAAACAAACCTGTATTATGAGTTGCCGAAGTGGAGAAATAATGTCAACCACAAACGAAGAGGCCACAAAATATTGCCATGAATCAACCTATCAAGCCACAATCTGACTTCGTCAAGTTAGATGGTGAGCTTACCCATTATTAGTGAGAACCATGCTTGGAGTATCATATAAATCCTACAGAAACATTACAATCTATTAGTAAGCTATAGTAAAAACGATAGGTCACGGTCCTCTATAAACTGAATCCCGAGTTGTATATGCACCTGCATATAGCCCAAGGAGAAATCTTCTCGTCCACAGCCAAAAGGCACACGTTACCCTGACCCTTCTAACCTTACCTATGCTGAATAAGTGACTAAGTAATGCTACAAGACATTGTACAATGGGGATAAGTTGGACTAATAATTCAGACCATTAGTCGGTAACCACACTCACGAAACCGATCGATGTTATAACAGTATTGTCACACATAATTTTTATAAGGCTTACATACAGAGTGAGCATGTGATGGCTATTGATTGATCACAACTCTCTCTAAGTAAACACAAAACTGACCTAATTGATTAAATAAAACAGTAACAGGCTTTCTAGAGCAGGTGATGATGATGTTTTTAGGTAGATATTGAATGAAATTACAATTAAATAAATTCAGTTCAGAAGACAAAACGTCACACGAATACTTCTCCTCAACTACAAGTCTTTCTCATCAACTCAAGTTCAAACATATATATGTATATTTAGAAGTTGACTGGAAAATCACAACCCTTAATCGGATTTGGAAACAAAAACTTACGTGTAGTAGTACATGGCTGGAGATCGTATGGGGCAGAGTTGACATCAGGATTCTACAATAGATTAATAATAAAAGAGTGTTTAATCAAAATTCCAAAATTTCCATATTGTTCAAGAAGACAGTCAACTAATCGAACTATTGCTGTTTTAATAATCTTTATTGATAGAAGTATTTCTGATACTGTGATATAAAGTAAATACATCGGTTTCAACTAATGAACAACACTATTACGTTTAAGTTGTAAGAAGCTGATCAGAAACCATGGAATAAAATGAATTCATGTTATTCAGTTATGTTTGTATTGTTTGTTCTATTCAAATTTATTAATAAAAACACACTGTATGAAGTATTATTCTTTAGCTTGAGGTCAGTCGGCGAGATTATAATTTATGGACAAACCAATCAGATTGAGAATAACAAGTCTTAGATTCATTTACTCATTTGGCTAAATAGAGTTTTGGCATTATAGCTTATGTCAGTTCATGATGAAAACCTTAAATCTAACTCCTAACCCTAACCATCAACTGTAAATCATAATCCTTATTCTTCAAACTGCTTTATAACTATCATTTAACCCCAGTAAGTAGGTAGACACTTTCAAGATCACTTTAGCGTCGCTCAAAGGTCGTTCATAAATTATAGTCTGTCTATTCAACAATTTCCATTCAAGTTTCATATTTATTTAACATTAACATATGATAACAACATTATCGAAACTTACCATATTTGATAATTCTGTTGCAGAAAAAAAACGATGAAATGATCTTATTGAATACCAATATCCAACATCTAATAAATCGGCTACACTGAGATCAATTACAATCTGAATGATAAAATTATAGAGAATAAGAAGTATATTAGATGTGTAATTGTTTATCAAGATATTCTAAGGCATGTTAACAAGATGTTATAAGAAAAATATATTTCAGATTGTCATTAAAGGGTTGTGGAGATTGTTGAATTGTAGTGAAATCAAGAAATATAAAGAGAGAAGGTTATGTAAATTATTCAGTGTTTAAATGAAAGTGGTTAAGGAAAAGTTAGTTTAGAGATAGCTATTTATTTGATGAATAATAAATAAATGAATCATATTACCAGAAGGGGTTTTGTGGATATTATAGTAATTTTATTAGTTGAGATCATGAGCCAATTGAAGCTACATCACCATGGAAAACTTGGAAGCACTGGACGGCCGTCCCATCTTCCTGTAGGACTCTTCAGGAGGGCGCATCCACGATCCCGTCTCGCGAGATTCAAACCTAGGACCTATCAGTCTCATGCGCGAGCGCTTAACCATTAGACCACTGAGCCGGCATCCAACGGTGTTATTACATTATAACAGCTAATTAGTCATTGTAAGAAAAAAACGCAGAATTAGTGATAGCTGATCATTGAATATAAAGGGGTAGTGTTAAACTATGTTGATCCCCCTGAAAAACTTAAAAGGTAACCTTGAAACTGGTCAATCAAATGTTAGTCTTACAAATATCAGTTAATTAGATTGCAGATTCTGAAAAGGAATTGTACATTAGGAGAAATTGGTAAAATTATAAAGAATTCAGTTCTTGAAAGCTAGCTAATTACACTTTCCTAACAAGAGCACTCCTAATCTTAATACTTTTGTCGCTAACACTCTTAACTCAATTCTAACTCCATCATCAACAATATTTGCCAAAATAAGACATGTCATCAAAAACAGGATATCCAGTATTCCTTCCTAAGAATTGCATGAAAACTAAACAATCACTATCTTCAGTCTGACTGGATAATTTCATTTGTTTCGAGACCTTCATTATAGTTTAGTTCCACTATCATAGAATGCAGGAAGGAGAATTAGGAATAGGGTTAAATGAGAGATCGTACATCTTGCTTTTGTATACGTGGTTTGGGTTTGAATTGGTAGTTTGCTAAAGCCTTTGTACTGCATACATTTCTAATTCGTACCACTGTTGAGCCGCATCGTTTAATCATCACGCTGCACACTGTTTGGCTAATGGAAATCTAAAGGGAGAATTACAACTGGAATTCCTGTTATAGACATTGATTGAATTTCTGGAATATTGAAGAGGTAATACTTCTCTAGAAACTAGTATCACGTATCTAATTAGCAAAGACTAGCTGAGATTAATGTGTACTACAACTCTGTTACTTGATTTTGTTCTGTTCAAGCTGCCCTACCTAAGTAAAACAAGCAACTGAAGTCTATTTAGAGATTTAGTCATTAAATTTTAACCCATTAAGAATAAATTTTCACGAGATTCAGAACATTTCAAGGCGTTTTTAATACAATTTAAATGCAGACTTCTTCATTTTCTTTGGGAAAAAGTCGACTTCTCAGGATTTACAGATGATACTGAAAGCTGATGAACGCCTCAAACTTTCACAATCTCTCTAGCATATAAGCAGTATAAAATTCATAATATTGATTATTTTACACCTGAACAATATGCTTTTTCAATCCAATTTATATTTGTGAATGAGCATTCTCATCAATAAATAAAGGCATGTCATGTATATATATCTGGCGTACCATCTGGAACTCATGACACTCTTCAATAAAGGTAAACATTCCTAGGTAATATAAATAAATTTGTATCAGATGGGGTTTTTGTGGCTATTATAGTAATTTCAATAGTGGATGCGTACTGCTGAGGAGTCCCACAATAGGACGAAACGGCCGTTTAGTGCTTCCAAGTTTTCCATGGTGGTCTAGCTTTAACTGGCTCATGATCTCAACTATTGAAATTAACTACTGAAACATAAACATACTACTATATAAAGTGCTAAAAGAAATGATGAAAATACAACAAACAGATCATTTAGATATAATACATTTTTGTACCTCGCCAATTTTATATTGTTCATCTGAATATTCATTACAATTCCATATTGTAATTTCTAAATGTAATTTGTTCAAATCATTATCTGTGAGATTGGTAAATCGAAAAACTTGATTCCATACAGGATTTGTATTATTACCACTACAACTGACTAGTTTTGTGCATCGAGAATTGTACTCTCTGAAAAAAAAATTAATTAAACTTATTGAATTCATACGTTATTGTTATTATTAGTTTCTAGTATACAGTAGTAGCAATACTGAAAATGAAATTAATATGGTGGGAAAAACAGATTTATTGATTTTTCGGACCCGTGGGATTGGCCGGTAATTACAGGAGAGCAGTACTATTGATCTGGCTCAAGTGTTGATTAGTTCTCTTGGACTGTCTATCTATTATCAATGATCTTTGGCTAACCAATAACCCAATGGCTATGAGATAACAACCGAGAACAACATTGAACAACTATCGGTCTAGAATGCAGTTCCTCACGTTCGTTTGCCCGATAGTCAAGATAGGATACAACATAGAATGTAGAAGACTCACATAATTCGAATTTATAAATTATTCAACTCTTGACCACACAACAACAGAAATTACAATGTCGGCATAACTGCACTATAAATGATGAGGAACTAAGTAATAGGTCCATAATAAACTAATAATAACTTAGGGAAAGTACAAAACAATAGCAACCGTTAATGTACCATATAAAAATACAATTACTGAAAAATAAAACACCAATAACTTTCAATGCTTCTTCTAGTTAAATAGTCAGCTCATGATATTACAATTTATCTTTAAATAAAACAATATCCATTTTGGAATCGTCCTAATATTGTTGTGTTGTTTGAAATAGATTGTAAAGTATTCATTGTCGTTCCGGACAACATGATCTACTTCACATAGAAGTGAGTCTCTTAGTGATAATAGTATTAATAATTATAACAATCATGTTCTCATAAGTAACTAATTCCGGCAGACAATTCTTGATGTTCTAATGAGAAGTTATAGATAGTGGAATTCAGCCATGCAGAGTGTGAGGCAGTTATTCATATTAGAAGACGGTTTCATAATATAACAGATTGATTAAATTTATGCTTATAAACCATTAGATGCCAGTTCAGTGGTCTAAAAGTTAATCATTCTTCAGGAAGCTTAAAACTCCTTGGTTTTATTTCGTAGTTATGGATATTTGGAACTAAAGTCACTATTGGAAGATTGACTCATTGGACAGATGCTTTAACTGTATTTAAGTTGGCAACTAAGGTTAATTTAGGAAAAAATAAGATTATACTTTTATCATGTAACCTTACCACTCAAGTGTGAAGCAGTGTTGAACAGTAAAAGTGATTACTCATTCTTTATTCTAAAAAAACGGCTTGCTTTTTGTTCGGAATTAATTTCATTGACATACTGAAACGTTTATACTGACTATTTCAATACCTATATTGATTGGTCACTGTGTAATAATTAATATCATGTTTGTTTAGTCCCTACTGCTGATCGAATTCCATCGATCAAGTTGTTATTTGCCCACTGACCTAAATGAATCAGAAACTCGTGAATTATGTTTCGATGTTAGTTGGTTAGAAGTATTCATCAGAAAACTTTGGACCTATGATTTTGTGCTAGCTGGCTCTGATTAGCAAGGCAATCTAAGGGGCCTGAAGGCCCCTGGAGGATTCGAAATCGTAGTACTCAGATTCATAACACAAGACCTTACCATTGAACTATTCAGATACCAATTGATCCTATTTATGACTGAGATTTTTATATCAGCCAGTCACTGAGTAGAAACTAATGTCTCGTTTCTCTAGACCTTGGTGCCGATCAACTTCTCAATCCGTGTTGGCTTAGTTATGCGTTGAGAAGTTGTATTAAGAATCAGGAATTTATAAACATCTGTCAAGAGAATTGACTTATAACGATGTATTTCAATTTACGATATGGTTACAATTCTAGTTTATGGAGGTGATGATCCAGGTGGCCTGCTTCAATATCTGGGCTACCTGTTCCTCCGATCTAGATATTTCATCAAGTTATCTGTTTTGTTGTTTGTTTTAGCACATCACTATGTCTATTGTGCGCACAACCTATTCAGGCGCGTTTATGAAAAGTTTACAACCTTTCGCTATACGGGATACAAAAAGGTACAATCAGAGACATCATGGTTGCTGGCAATATGCATTGAAACGAATGAACATTAATGAAATGTGGATTACCGAACTTCTAACATCTAACTGGTCATCATTCAAAATTGATCGTCACAATCGATCAAGATATAAGAAAAGGAAACTTGTTGAAATACTTTATGCTGAGAATTCTATGTTGTACCAAAAATATAATGTTGAATAAAGCTTCTAATAATAATAATAATAATTTAATTTGCCTAGCTCTATTAAATCTTACGTACATAAAAGAATTAGGCTACAAGTCAAGTACGAAAATGTCTACTTTGTAAATGTAATACAGAATGTTAAGGTTTAATGGAGCATAATTTTTGAAGAAAGAAGACTCTCTAAACATAATGAACTTACACTTGTTCTGGAAGAAGGCACAAACGACAATAAAAATTACATGGCATTCTAGAAGCCTTATTTATATTAGGTAGATTTCGAGCCTCTAGAATAGTGACAATTAATTGATGTTTAATTTCGTCGTAGAATAATTTCAACTACAAAATAACACATAAATATAAAAGAGATAGAAGTGATTTTAACATTCAATATGAAGACAATGTTAAATGTAACAGGGGAATTAGAAAATACCATAGGAATTGTTTCATAACAAAATATACTATTCTTCTATGTTGTTATTAATAATTCATATTAGTTTAGTAAAATGAAGCAATGTCCAATCTACATTATAAAATGACTGAAATTGGAAATATCGATTGAAAAACTTTGACGGAATAAGTGAATGTTATTTCAAGAAGCATTTCCGAAGTTCTGAGAAAGATCAGTGACGTATGAAGTTAACTATTTTGAAAGTTAAGTGAATAATAGTCACACTCTATTGCCAGTCAGAAATGTACAAAACTGGACTTCTATTTATTGGTTTTTAGTTATCATACTCACTGTGATGCTCGAACTCTGTATTTGCATCTTGTATAGAGTCGTTTGTACTCCCTAGAGAGATATTTCAAAGATGCACGAAATAATTAATTGTTCTATACTTAGCGTATGGTTAATCAGCTAATAAAAAAAGCTTGGACCTAGATCTCTTGTTAGTTGATGCTTATCGACAGAACCTAACTGAGATTCTCGGGTAACTGATAATGGAAGACTAATTCCATATCAGCGGTTGGATTGGTTGGAAAAGAGACTAACTTCCAGTATTACTGAAAAATCGACACATTTTTTAAACAATTAGTAGTGACTTGTGTAATACTGTCTAATCTACAGTATCGATCGTATCCAAGACACCGAGTTTTGCTATAGCCGGTACCCTTAGTGATACAAAGAGGCCGAAGTAGAAATAAATATTTTTGTTTAATTTTAAATGATATAGGAATGTATGATGGTGCTACGTTTTAGGAACAACTTGATTAGACAGGTTAATCTTCTATCACGTCAATCAGTACAAACCATTTAATCGCTCCTTCATTGTATTTTACATTGCTTTTAATTGTATATAAAAGGTGACACTCTTCGTAAATAACAATTCTTCAGTCACAGATGAGAGCTTTGTCATCTGAAATTTCGTAACTCACTGGGATAATAAGTTCTGACAGTAATAGTAGTATTTGTTGTCGAATAATGTGTCAGTCTAGATTTATTCCGATTATTGCAATGAATTCGACTCAGTCACATTACTATTTAACTTGAAATTGCCTTGTGTTATATTTGTTGTTAAGTAGTCAGAGGAAATCGATGAAGAACTCAATGTCTAGTTTTCATGCCAACGACATACTTCAATTAATGTGTGATCATGATCAGACTATTTAAGAAGTGGGCCCAAACTATGGCAATTGTGAAAATTCATACAAATTTCATCAAAACAATCATATTCTTTATATATTTATATAAGAAATCTTGAAAAAGTAACATACATGTAAACTAGATTTAATATTATGCTCAACGGAATCCATTTCATTCGGATTAAGACAATCAGAACGATTCGGAACCATTAATACAAAATCATCAGTTGGTGCTAAGATAAATGCAATGTGGGGGGGGGAAATTAAAAGCAATATATAATGTATCAATTACATTAAAACAAACTAATCATATGACTAGTAATTAAATGAACCGTTAAGTTTGTTTGCATAATTTGCATATTTCTTCCAAGAAAAACAGTATAAATTGTAATTTCATCATGGATGCATATTGAAGTTTGATTTCCAATGGTTGTGTCTAAGCTAGATTCAATCTATTATAACGTGCACTACAAATTCAGTTTCATTTTCATGATAGGGAGTTAATCAACATAAACTAATCCATGTGGTGGACATAATTTCCATTATGTACTACTGACATCAGCTGGTTAATCATTTGAAATCAAGGTCAGTATGCTAGTTGTTTTATTTTAATTCTAAATTCGGCAGTAATGGATTCCAAAGACATAATATATTCAGAAGATAGATTTGGTTATATACTGAGCTCTTCAAATGCTGTCGTGTATACATATGAAAGATAAATAGAGTGAAAGAATCACTGCAAGCTTCACTTTTAAATACTACTTTTTAATGAGTAAGAAGAAAAGTTCTTTTTAATCATAAGTCGAATCAACATTACTGTAGGATTTAGTTTGTCTACAGATACATTTTTTTGATGGTAAAACTGCAAGATGGCTAAAAAGGCATCTGAAAACATGTCATCCAGTACACACCCAAAGCACACCGACAGCTGAAACACAAAACCATATGAACATATAAGACTATATAGAAACACAACCAACGAACTACACTAATGTTCATACAACTGGTGTAAAAAGAACTACCGACGGAAAAAATGAATGATCAATCACTGCTATGCAGTACACCAATGTTCATCGATTACTGGATAGAAAATAATACCGAAAACCAAAAAAACAAATGCATAAACCACTATTGCGCTCCGGTAGTTGTAGCGTGCTGCCATGAATGTCTCTTCTGTAGAAAGCTTACAGGATTCATCAACTAGTTTGGCTTTAAGGGACAATGTAATCATAAATCAAATCAAATGCTTGGCCAAAGATTACGTAATGTGTAGAGTGAGATCTAAATCCAGTAAACAATAGTAGAGGTGAATGCTTATGAAATATTCCCAGCATTCATAAGATTAATAATAACAGTAAGAATGACAGTAATACAAAGATATTGAGGATGAAGTTTTGAAAATGTGAACGATTGTGTAATCCTGTTGAACCTGTAGTTAGTCAAAGTAACAGTAACAGTTGGATACATTTCTTTTGCACATAAAGTCCCAGTTTTTCTAATCCGAATAATGGCCCGGGATCTAACTCCAGTGAGATCGTTTCAGATTGCTATTGAGATATACATATCCTCAATTCTCGTATATTATCATCGACTTAATTTACGTTAGTGAATAACGTAATTAAATAAGTCAAATACGAGAATGGATTTTGAATATGTATATTTCATGCATTCATTGATTTGGACAGGTAATCAAGGAATGAAACGAAGAGAAGTGAGTGAAGCGAAGTGACATGCAGTGCAAAATGCATGTGAGCCAACTCTCATTTAACCAAGTGTTAATCAATATTTATAGTCACACAAAATTATTCTACAAACATGGGATGAATGAGATAAGAAGGGAACACACATATGCGCTCATATAAAAACAGTCAAGGTTGATAAGTGAATAATTAACAAGGTCAAAAAGTAACTCAAAAAGAATGGATAAATTGGCTTATCCAGAAGTTAGAATAAGGTATATGGGCTTAACATAATAACCGACACAAAAAAAGAACATCCTTCGTTCACATACCATCAGTCTGCTTATAATGAATAATTACAAATAATGATGATAATAATCAGAAGGATATTTTGTGGAGATTGTGAAAATTTCAATAGTTGAAATCAAGAGTCAATTGAAGCTAGATCACCATGACAAACCTGAAAGCAGTGGATTGCCGTTTCGTCCTATTGTGGGACTTCAGCAGTGCGAAGCCACGTTCCCGCCTCATGAGATTCGAACTCAGGATCTACCTGTCTCGTGCGCAAGCGCTTAACCATTAGATCACTGAGCCGGCATACAACGGTTTTGATGTCTAACTTCAACCAATTCACGAAATTGCGCCACCGTACACTATTGTCTTTAGTGAGCTGATATTTCACAACATACCTGGTTAAGCGCTAACGCGCAAGACTAGTAGGTTTTGGGTTTGAATCTCGCAGGGGTGGGATCGTGGATGCGCACTAAACTAACATATTATTTATCACTAGGTATGAACCCATAACTAAGACTTTCATCATCTTACAATTTTATTACAATTTTAAATAAGGTGAATAGCCTACAGGTAAACATCAAATATCTTATATAGAAATTTTAATAAGCCCAAAAGTACAAAAGAAAAACTGATTAAAAACTTACTGTTTGCAGGTTCACTGAATGAATGAACAGAAAAGTAATGAGAAAAAAAAGGAACATATTATTCAAGTATTATAACAGTAGTTACATTGATTTCAAAATTTCATTGGATGATAGACTGATAAACAGTTATTGAATTAAATTTCTTCATTTTGGTGGAGTTTTGTTCTCTGAGCTGGTTGGCTTGGTCAAGGAGCTTTCATCTTTCTTCCGAATGACATCATCAGCACAAATTTCAGGTAGAAGGTCAACAAGAACCAATCAACATCGAAGTGTACAGGACAAGCTGTGAACCACATGTGGAGAAATTTGAACACTTCACTTCTATCTGAAGTTTGTGCTGATGATGTCGCTCAGAAGAACGATAAAAGTTCCACGACTAAACTATCCATCTCAGATAACAAAACTCCATCAAAATCATCCACCTAAGCTACAAATCTCCATTATCTCGAAACTGTAATATATTAGTTAGTTAGTTACTGAGTTGGTTGCTACTAACAATTTTCTCCAGTTTGTATGATTATGAAGTACACATCTTAGTTATTAAACAACATCTTTACCACATTATATATGTATAACAATGTCATTCATTAGCCTACTTCTTTACAAAATAAATGAATTTTGTTATTAAATTAAACTCTTACTTCAATTCTCTTTGAGCTAATAATTCCACTTGTAATTCATCTCTTGACTGATATATGATTTGTGAAACATCATCAGCACTAAGACCGCGTAATGGTTGTCCATTCCATTCTAAAATTTCATCACCAGATTTTAAATGCCCAATAATATCTGCTGGACTTCCTGGTTTAATTTGTGTCACAAATGCTGATAAATGTCCAGATTTGTCGAGTCGACCACCAGCTAATTTAAGGCCTGATTTTTAAAAAAAACTTGTATGAGAAATATAATATGATACAATTTGTAATATAGTAATAAAAAGGTGTTGAATTGTTGGTAGACCAGGGAATACTGGTGTCATTGCACGAGGTTGAAGATCGCTTTAGAATTTTGATGCACCATATTAGTCAACCAGTATTTAGGACGTAAAAGTGAAACTTAATTGTATACGGTGATATTATGTAGCTTATGACATTATAAAGGTTAATTTTAAAAAAGCACCGCTACAAAATTCAATCATTTGAAAGAAGAACAGTGTAGCCTACAGATAATCTAACGAACCATAAATATTTTACAAACGGCGAAATGATATTGTAGTACAACATCGTAAGCATAGTGACGAGCTGAAAACACCATCACGACAAATTTCCAGCCATTTCTTAGTCAATCAGAAAGAAGTCCTTGTAAATGGAAAGTTTGTGGAAAATATTCCAAAATCTTTACAGATCTTACATTAAGTACCGACTAACGTTTTCTGCGGGTAAGTCTGCTTGTAAATTGGGAAAACCGACACAGGTAAATTCGTCTTTGTGAACATAGATTATCCACATTCTCAAACTATTATGGAAACCTAAGATTTCTAAGAGTCCCCAAATTTTTCTTGATTAGTTTACACGTTAGGGATAAGAATTGACGGTTAATGGTTAGAATTCCCTCACCACCAACTGACAACAGAAACAATGCAACAATACTCTGTAGCTTTATGGATAAATAAATATTCAATTTGAGAGGCACTGTCTAATTTGTTCGGGGTTCAGGTTTGTCTCAATAATAAGTATTACAAATTAGGGATCATTGATATGGCTGCTACCTACAATCTATAGACACAGGATTAAGCCTTTGGTTTATTTCCAATTCTCGCTATCATTTTAAATGTTTTGGTCAGCGTACAAAGATATATCTGTTGCTTACTATTACGTGACATTAGGTTTTTGACGTAACCGACTAAAAGTCACATTCATGTTTCTAATTGGTTCATCCCTGTACCATGCATTTACAGGTGAATAAATACTAGTTGAAATTACTTTTTGAACTGTTAAGACCTGAAGTTAGCTATATGGATTCTGATTGATTTGATAGTATAATATGATTTGTTGTTTGATTGTGCCAAGATTATTCCTATTGGTTAAGAAGATTAATATTTTATTCTATTAGCTAACTGTAATCATGATTGCCTTCAGCAGATAGTTGAATGAACATATGAATACAGTGAGTATCCGAGTGAAGTCTAGTAACCTTTGGAAACATCTATCTCAGTCTAATAATTATGTTGATAAACTTTATGTTATTCATTCAATGTATTCTTAACTATTTAATCAATCGAAAAATCAAATAGTGATTACAATGGTTCATTAAAATGAGTTGTGAATCTTCATCGAATGAGATCGTTGTGCCACGTGTTACGTATGCCTGAACACCGATTACCACGACAAGCAATGCTAACTAGTGTTGTGGATGGTTGGAAGAAAGTTAGAGGCATCAGTGCTTGAAGACACTAACTCCTAGTCTTGGCCATGTTGGTAGATGCAGACTACTTGGTTGTTGACTCTGGGTGACATGGCTCAGCATCCATCACAGTGGCGTCTGTGTATACACTCTCTGTCTTCCCTTAAACTATGAGATTAAAATCGCTTCATATCTTTCTTTCTATGAACTAATTCTTTTTTCATGTACTATATCCTTATATTCAATCTTTGTTTTATATATTACCACCACTGAATTGACTACTTCTATGAGTCCGGTGTTCATCTTGTTGTGGTAATTAGGTATGGCAACATGAACTGGTGCATATATGTGCCTGGTCCTACGTTGTAGCTGACTGACTCACTGACATTCAAATCAACTCATCATAGTAACAAATATGGCTAATGAACCATTAAATGAGAACCACATCTGTGTATTATGTTATCAAGGTAATAAATCTACTGATTAAAATAAATTGATTTCTCACTAGAAATCAATCATCACAAATATGAGTTTTGGGAAAGTAATTAAAGATAAAAACTGCAGGGAAAAAATCTTTAATGGTTAATTATGGATTTATTTACAAGTTGGGAAATCAACATAAAAATTTTATTTCACTTACCTAATCCAGGCTCACCAAAATGTGGATCAGTTTTCTTTTGTAAAATCATATGACCAATTAAACGTTTACCATTCTCTGAAACACTCCAAGTTACTGGTTGAGACTTTAATTTAAAAGAATATGATTTTGTGAAAAAAAAAAGTTTTAGAAAATAAATTAAACAAATTCATTTTAGTATCAGAAGGGCTTTTGTGGATATTATAGTAATCTTAATAGTTGAGATCATGAATCAATTGAAGGTAGATCACCACAGAAGACCTATAAGCACTGGACGGTCATTTCGTCCTAGTGTGGGACTCCTCGGTAGTGCGCATCCACCATCCCGCCTCATGAGATTCGAACCCAGGACCTGTCTGTCTCGCGTGTGAACCCTTAGCCTCTAGACCATTGAGCTGGCATCCAACAGTGCTAATGTATAACTCCAACTAATTCACGAAATTGAGCCACGGTTTACCATTGTCTTCAGTGAGTTACTATCTCACAACAGACACTCTTGAAATCCACTGGTCACTGCTTCTCTCTAGAACTGCAGGAAATACCTCTTGAAGCCAGTCACTAGTGGGCATATTTTTTCCATGCTGGTCTAGCTTCAATTGGCTCATGATCCCAACTACCAAAATTCATTCTAACAAAGATTTTCATCACTAATTGATGTTTTTAGACGAACCATGGAAAAACTAGAAAAAAATCAAATAATTGAACCATTCTAGTTTGGAAATCTTCTGAAGTATATGCCTATAAACCTGAAGAAAACTGAACTAAGTTGAATATATGGATTACTGGCTTCTGTCTTAATAGTTATGTGGTATCGTTTGGGTACCTGAATCTAGGATTATAAGTCAATCACTGTTAAAGAGATCATAACTTCTAAAAAAGAAGAATCTCTTATTTCTGAATCTCACGAGACACACTATTTCCACTGCAAAAACCTAGAACCAACTCTCATAAGGTCTTGGTTGATGGTTGGCTACCGACTGCCTTCGACCATCCCGACATCAATTTTTAGACAAGTTTTTATACTAACAAGGTTGAAAGCTTACAATCTAAATGACTAACGAACCTATTCAGTAGAAGAATAAAGGTTACTCTCATCAATATTTGACTTCAGTCACAGACATTTTACTAAATACAGTAGTTTACAATAATAATGTAGTTTTGAGATCGGACTAAGAGTGAATAATGTTAAAGAATAGCACTATTCAATTACACCATTCCCCCACTAATTTTTGGTTATTAACTGTTTTGAGGAGTGCGATTTAAATTATTGACCGTAATCATTGCCCATTTGAATTCAAAACATTTTTGTTTCTACCTTCGTTATTTGACTATTGCTCATAGATAAGATTATCCTCACAATGTAACTATGGCATAAAATCTCACCTTTTATTCAATGTCAGTATAAAATTATTTGAACTCTGATTGAACTTTATTTTTTTGGTTTCAGTGAACCAACCGAAAATTTTATCTGGGGCCCTCCTAGGATCATTGCTGGTCCTAAGCCCGGATAAAGCAGGAGGGTTGAGCACGGAATTAACAACCCCGTCCTGTAGAGAGAAGAACATAGCTAAAAGGACGCTAACCAAAAATAACCATTTTAAGCGTCTAAACTATTCCCTAAGAGTTCAAGCATTTTGATTAAGAACAGTTATAAAGCTTCACAGTGAAAGCCAAAAATCGGTGAGATCATAAATTATGGACGAACCAATCAGATTTAGGGTAGCACGTCTTGGATTTTGGCGCAAAATCCATCCATCCATCTGGCTAAATAGCGTTTTGACATCTTATCTGATGTCTATTCGTGATGAAAACCCTAAATCTAATTCCTAGCTCCAATCCTCATAATCCTAATTGCTTCTATTGCTTTATAACCCTCATTTAACACTAGTAAGGACGTGGACATTTTAAGGTCACTTTGACGTCGCTCGAAGGTCCTCCATAAATTATAGTCACACCCGCAAATCTTCAGAATTCACCAGGTCGATGCCGATTATCACAACAAGAGTAACATGGAATGCCTGGAAAATGTGGGGAACCCGAATAGTCATTCAAACAGTATCGAAAATGCGAAGATATAACATGAGTCATTTTGTGGTAAGTGAAATTCGTCGGAAAAAATCTAGGTGAAAATGACTATCTTCACAAGACGTACTGTTGTATTATGATAATGAAAAATCGCAGCCCCTTCAATTACACAAGGAGCTAAACTGGTGAACTTTAAGGAGACGCGTATAGCACTTATAGGTGGTATGGAACCTCATGAACCAAGGATCATCAAAGTATCCTTCAAACCAATTGAGGAAGTGATTACGGCGAATGTTACCCAGTCCAGCTCACCCAACGATGATGGGAATGAAAATGATAAATATCAGTTTTATGAGAGACCGCAGTTCATTACAGAGAACTGCTCAGAAAAAGACCTGACCATCTTGATGGAAGACCCGAACCCTAAGGTTGGAATAGACAAGACTACAGAAAACGGGATCGATCAAATTCACTAAATTCATGGGAGCGACAAAGACGACAAACCAACTACTGGTTAACAAAACAAGGGTAGCATTTATACAATTGAAGAACATATGGAAATTAAAACAAATGTCAACGAATATCAAAGTCAGAATCTTCAATACGAACCTCAAGAAAGTTCCACTGTACGGAGCTGAAACGTGCAGAACTACTAAAACCATCATAAAAATTGCACAAGTAATAATAAAAAGTAGTCTACTTAAGCTACTCAATGTTTGTTGGTCGGATACCATATGCAACAACCTACTGTGAGATAGAACAAATCAACTTTCAGTTAAAGAGGAAATTAGTAAAGCTCTGGAGGTGGATAGGATGTACATTAAGAAAATCACCAATCGCTTTCAAAAAAAGCTGTAGATTGGAATCCTGATGGGAAAAAAAAGAGGAAGATCAAGAAACACACTGCGTCTAGAATCGGAGGTAGATATAAGAAGAATGAACAACAAATGGAAACAACTGTCATGGATTGCCCAGGACAGAGTTAGTTAGAGAATCCTGGTCGTTAGTATATGCATCATGAGGGGTAAGAGGATTAATTGAGTAAGGACCAAAGAATATTTGGGTACTTATGATATTTACTTCAATATGTCTCGAAAATCTTTTTTCAGTTAGTAATATTTAATAAAGATAATGTTACGATGTCTCAACATGTGACCTTTTAAAAACCAGAGAAAGTCCATCTGCTTAATCATTCAATTTACACCAAATGGAGTATAACATATATGTAAGCCCATTTACTCAGTTGCTTTATGAAGATTTTAACAGCCTGCTGTGGGAGAAAACAAACCAACTTCCAGCCGAGGAGGAAATTATGAAAAGACGTTGGAAGTGGATAGGACAAATACTGAAGAGATCATCAAACTGCATCACGTGACTAGCGCTAACTTGCAATTCTGAAGTGGAAAGGAAAAAAAGAAGACCAAAGAACACACTGTGTCCGGAATTGGAAGCAGACATGATAAGAATGAATAGCAAATGGAAACAATTGGAAAGGATTGTCCAGGACAAAGTTGGATGAAGAATGCTCCTGTTGGGCCTATGCTACTCCATGAGATGTATCAAGCTTAAGTAAATAAGTAAGTTATGAAGATTTTGATAATTTTATGTTAAATTTCGTCACAACTGAAAATCTAACGAAAAGTAGAATTCATTTTTCACTTTGGATTAGGACTCTTCAGTAGTGGGTATCGCTTCAATGAAAAATATCCTTTAACTCTACATAACTTTCCATATATCAACTCAGTACATGATAGCCATATACTCAATGACAGTGACTTGGAAAGTGTTTTTTCTAATGTTCTAATTAAATAGGGCAAGGGTTGAAAACGTGGCTGACCGAGTCAAGAAAGTCACCATTGAGACTGTGACTCATTAAGGAAACTAATACAAATATTTACCATAAATACATTTATAGACATTATTAATATGATCAACCTACTGATGAAATATTCGGTGGTAACCTTTTTGTAACAACTGTTCCATCTTTATGGTTGTATTGAACATCTAGCGATAATGTAAAAAAATAATAAACAAATCCAATAAAAGCATAATATAATGAACGGAGATAGATAATGGCTAGCAGTGGAATCCAGGATGCGCGTTTCTTCCTACTTGAGACTCGTCATCTGGATGTACCTGCATCCCAGAGTTGATGTTCACTCTGTGACTCGAACCTAGTACCGTTCAATTCAAATGCCATCGCGTTACCCACTATTAGCCAACATCCATCTCTGATTATAATGCTTGTGAATTAAGGCAATATCAAGGCAATCCGCACAGGATGTACATATGCCAATACGAAACTGATCAATTGCAGTCTTTAAACTCAATGATAATATTCAAACAACCAACAAAAAAGTCAATTAGTATATAAGAAATTTCGAAAAGAAGAATGCAGCTTGATAACATAGCTCCATCAGTTAAAAATCCTTTTTATTTTAATGTAGTGAAAATCCGTTAAGATTGAAAACCTTCGTACATGAACATTCATTACATTTCTCTCGATAATTAGTCGTCTAACTTAGCCAACAAATAACATCAACTCAAAAAACCGTCATTTGTTAATCGGTCCTGTCGGAGGATCGAGAGACGGCCGCCGGTGAACACAAGGGAACTCTTAGAAGCTCAGAAAGAGCTGAAGAAATTCTGTCCAATCATCTTCTGAATGATTATTCCAGAACTTCGACTTGTAGCTTCCCGATTGGACAAATGCACAATATTTGATACTGTGTGAAATAAGATTCCTTCTCACTGATCTTCTGTCGTCTAACTTGCGACTTGAAGGGTTCGCGTGTTCCGGTACCAAAGTTGTACGCGGTATAGCAAGAATACAAGTCCCAGATAAAACAACAGGTTTGTAAATTTATTAGTTAAGGCTATTGTAAATTCTTTTGTAAATCTTATACCTCATGAAAAGAAGTTAGGCTGTGTTTTTCTTTAAGTTCTTAGAATTTTCAAGTGATAGCTACAGTGTTGAATAGCATAATTTCACGTTCAATGTTATATTGCACATTCAACAACATTCATTTCTCCAATGATTATAAGTCAATGTATTTCTGTACATGTAACCAAAGATTTATGTTCACTCGACATTTTCAGTACACTTTAATATTTATACCCATAATTATACTTGACTTGTTCAATTAAGTTACAAGATGAGCTAATTAATGTTTTAGAGTAACGTAACAAAAACCTTAAAAGTAACAAAATGTTTAATCTGTTGCACAGAATGAATTTTTTTTTTCAAATGGATTAGATGTTTCAAAGGAGATCATCATGAGTATAAAGACGATAAAATCCCAACATAAACATCAATCTCTTTTATGTGGATGAATACATCGAATATATGAAATCACCCTTGTTTTTTTTTAATCGCTGATTTACTATTTAGATGATTAATGACGAACTGAAGTTGGGTAAATCTGGTTTAAGTATATGATTTTAGCAAAACATTTAGCGCAATGAAAACATGAAACTATGAGGCAACTCACATTACGCTGGGAAATGGAGATAGACATGAGAAAAATGAACAGAATTGAATGGAACTAAAAGAAGGCCCAGGACAGAGTGGGTTGGAGAATGTTGGTCGGCGGCCCATGCTCCATTAGTAGTAACAGGCGTAAGTAAGTAAGTATGCGGAAACTAAATAGCCTAACTCCTGAAAACTTTTAACTTTACTCTGAACAATGAAAACGAAGACTGAACAGATTTATTGTCACGAGGGCTGGTTTGAAGAGGGTAATACTGATTTTGAATATCAAACGTTATGAAATAACGTTTTTTGTGATCTCATTTCGTGTATTTGTTGAACAGTCTAATGCTTATTCATACTTCTCTACATGAATAATGAATAAAAATTCCATTCATTTTTTTATCTTATTTTAAATATTACTAAATAAAACTGACCTTTGTGATATCCCATAGATCTATTCTCAGGTAGTTGTCTATGATATACAGGTTGAGCTTCATCACTGTACGCATATCTTACTGGTGGTTCATCACATAAAGATAATGCTTTATCTTGATCCCATACAGTTGGTTTTAACTGTCTATCGTAATATGGTGTTGTTGAACGTTTACTAATATAAAATTGACTAGCTGGATCATCATCATCTGTCACAGTTCCTTGAGAATATGGTGAATTTTTTCTTTCAAAATTTGTCGGTAATAATCGACGTCTTGGTTCTTGATATAGTACTGAGCCATCATCAACAACACTGAAATCTTCTCCATCTGAACTACTAAATGAAAGATGATGTAACTGATGATGGCGTAATTGGTCACGATATCTTGGTGGTACAGCACCATAACGATAAGTTTCCCAATTTGGTTTATTTCGTCGTTGTGCTAATTATTAAAACAAAAATGGAAACTATGAAAGCTAAAAATAATTTTTGATGCTTAATATTCAATATATATATAATTATCCCTGTAAATACTCTTAAGTGCTAAATCAGGAGTTAAGCTAAATACGCATTAGGAATTTGTCAGAGGCTTCCCCAATTCTCCGAACCACCTATTTTCCGACTGTTCAATAAGTTCTCCATTTCTGAATTTCGTTCAACCAATTGGTTATGTAATTTAACCATACAGGTTGTTGAAAGCCCTCAAGTATTTCATGAACAAGTCTCCAAAAGTTGATGAAATGCTCGAAAATATTTCATCCAATCAGCCTTTAATAGAAAAATCTCAGAGTTAAAGAAGAGAGACGAATTATACGTTATTTCCTGACTGACCGGCGTTGTTACTAATTTTAGCATGTTTCAGGAAGCTACTACAGCATCAAAATCATACACAAACTCATAAATATCCTTATTTTCTGTAACAAAGAAACCCTAAAAGTGAAATATATTTTCCATTCTTCTGGTTGGGGTTCAAATGAGAGAGACTTTTGGAACATCGGGAATCAGTTCCGAAGTCATTTCCAAGAGTTCAAAACATAATACTTAGCATAATGCACTCATAAATTTTTACGAAGCACGTTACTATTTATCCCAAAATTCAAATGGAATTACCATAGCAGTTCATATATCTTCCCTATTGTTTGTTCTTTAACTGAACCGGAAAACATTAAATTTGATACTTGTTCAATACAAACTTATTGCATATTTTGTGCCAAGAATTATTTACTGTAACCAAGCTGTGAACCACATTTGGAGAAATTTGAACACTTCACTTCTATCTGAAGTTTGTGCTGATGATGTCGTTCAGAAGAACGATGAAAGCTGCACGGTCAAACCATCCAGTTCAGAGAACAAAACTCCATCAAGAATTACTGTAACCAATTACCGACACATTTCAGTAAGTTTAACAAATTGACTGTACAAAAATATACTAATTGGGAAACTTTCATTTTTGAATTCACTATAACTAAGATGTGATAATAGAACAGAGTGATAAGAGAATTGGCTTATGGTATTGATCTTGAAATGTCAAATGATCAGTTATCGGATGATAAAATCATTGTCTAAATGGATGACTGTTACTTAGTAATTACCTGTAGAATATAGATCTAAAAAATATTTGAACAAAATAGTTAGACTTATTGTGCAACGTATGGCTAAAATGAAGGTGGCGAAATAACTAACAGTTCTTTGATTCTTCCCACCTTATCGTTGGTTGTTTAAAGAATAAACTGCAGTCGATTATGCCGAACAATTGGTCGTAATTTAGAATTAATTTAGGGAAATTGTACAAATCGTAGTTTAAATCACGGACTGAATTCAGTTAGACAACCGTTGAAAACCAGAAAGCAATAAAAGGCTGTTATATTTTAGTATTGGATTTATCAGTATTGTGCACCCCAAGATCACTCCACGATACGAACCGAGATTCTTCTAGCTTTTCGGATTGTCTTTAATCCTCAGACCATTAATTTACCATTCACTAGTTCACATTTTATAACATCAGTCGGTTGGATGCTAACTCACTAGTCTTAGGGTTAAGCACTCTCTGAGAGGTTTAAAGTCTCTGAGTCCAATCTTTTAAATGGTAATGAATCCGCGTTGCCCAGTAGTTTTATAGCAGGATGAAACAATTGTATAATGCTTCCTGATTTTTAATAGTTTACTATTTTAACTAAATCCATAATGTAAACTACAAAATAAACACAATTGTTATTATGCATTAAAATTACGTAAATCAATTAACTTACCACTAAAAGGACTAGATGGATAGTTTTGTTTGTAATATGGCGATTGAGAAGGAAAATTTTGATCACTTCTATATCTGATTTCTTGGTGTCTGCCAAATTCATGCGCTGAACCTTTTCCATAAGACAAACTATATTTTGTACCACTATCACCACCACCACTTTGACATGGTGAATCCGATGGATCAGAAGGGAATGAATCACCTGGATATGTAGAATCCAAATAGGTATTACCATGTAATCGGGGATCATTAGGGGGACAACGATTATTCACTTCTCTGTATGAAGTGATTTCATCTAATGGATAATATGCACCGGATGTATGCCTAGATCTTGCAATATGACCATATTCACCAGGAATTTGATCATATTTTTTAAATTTATCACCAAATCTAAAATATGTAAAATAAAAGAGAAGGAGTTAGTCTAAACTGAAGGGAGTTTGTTTAATGAATCCTTGAGTGACATTAAAGAAGTAAAGGGGATTTTGAGCGAATATGAATGCCGATCATATAAATGAGTAATTTATTACATTAAACTCAAAGATGTTAAACGTTTTGTTCGAGAATTTAGGCTTATGTTTAAGGGTTAGGAGTCTGGTCTGAGTCCGTGGCTATGGTTACGTGTTAAGAATTTAGGGTTGGATGTTTGGGTTTAACTTAGAAATTAGAGTTACAGTTAGAATATAGCTTTAAGAGTCGGAAGTAACGATTAACAACTGAGTGAGAGAATTCTCTGTAGACTCACATGGATAAATATTTGTATGTTTAGTTCCTTGATTTCCAATTTTAAAAGCCTTTAAGTAATCATTAACATGTATGAACCATGATATTGTTTCCTTAATTTCCCCATGTTTATCATTTCTAAGCATTTAAGAAACTGGGTGTCAGTAGTATTTACTTAGCTTCTAAAAAGATATTAACTATCCTCCAATCGTTTTCAGATTTTGAGCAGAGGTACAAGAGCTCCTATCTTATCATCTGTTTGGGTCATAAGTATAGTACGATTTTAAGGATTTATCGTTTTTGAAATCAATTTTCATTACAAAATGATATTAACTGAATAGGTATTGAAAAATGAGAACTACAAACAGACCATTTTGAAAAGAGCAAGAACAAACATTTTAGCAGAATAGCTTGAATTCATTTTGATTTCGTTGATTCTCGTCAGCTGCTTACAACCTGTGATATTTAATATCATAATTACACAATCGGTTTAAATTACTTACATAAAAGAGTTTGATTGGAAGTTATATTGTAGACTTAGTAGTATAGTATAGCAAGGGTGTAAATAAAGGTAATAGACTGAATATTGTAAATATATACCTTATGTAAAAGACCATTGTGACAACAGTTCAAACGGCTAGAAACAAGTAAACATTGATAGGAATGAAATGAGTAGAGTTCAGTTGATAAAATAAGATTACTGATTTGGAAGACAGTTGGAATAAAACTCAATGATGTGATAAGTGCAAGATAGAGTTTAAAGAAAAAGAAAAAAATCTATATTAAGATACAGCGAAGGAATATTAGTCATCAAGGCAAGGAAAGATTAATAACCATCTCCTTTTGAACACATAAATCAGGATTCTGGCATCTGATAGCAACTGCCTCAGCGAAATTCAGAAGACTGGAATTTGGCTGCTTACTAATCACCTTGAATGATTGCAGGGTATCGACTTGATGTCCTGTATCAAGAAGATGTTTGGTGATTGCACTATTTAGAGTCTTTCTTTCTCTTGTTCTGAGGCTTTTTGGAACATGTTCAAAAAATCTGAGATATGCCCTCCTTTCTGTTCGGCCAATGTAGCTGCTTTAGCAGGTACACGTAAGTTTATAAATACAATTAGCGGTAACATGAAAAGGATGCTTATCAACCTTTGATTGAGTTATTGAACATGTTTTATACAGAATTTATCGATTGAACTCTACTCATTTCATTCCTATCAATGTTTACTTGTTTCTAGCCGTTTGAACTGTTGTCACAATGGTCTTTTACATAAGGTATATATTTACAATATTCAGTCTATTACCTTTATTTACACCCTTGCTATACTATACTACTAAGTCTACAATATAACTTCCAATCAAACTCTTTTATGTAAGTAATTTAAACCGATTGTGTAATTATGATATTAAATATCACAGGTTGTAAGCAGCTGACGAGAATCAACGAAATCAAAATGAATTCATGCTATTCTGCTAAAATGTTTGTTCTTGCTCTTTTCAAAATGATAAAGGGAACTATGTGTATGAAACAGACAATTGTTACATTCTAACATGTGAATCCTCCAAAGTAGTTTATAACTATAACTTTGAATGAGATAATAAGTAATACAGAAACTTAAAAGTGATATTCATTAAAAATTTCTTAACATTAAATATAGAATATGAGTTTGATGATTGAATACTACCATGCTCAACATGAAACCTTTTATCATTCTAGTGTGAAGTCGTAGTTACACAATATATCAAACAGTTTAAAACTTGGACAAAATAAATATTCGATACTTATCGGGTTTACAATGATTTTACATGGTTAAAATTATCTTTACCTTGAAAGACAGATAATATTTGTTAAAAAAGAAAGTATTTAAATTTACTTGGCATTGTTTACCTGAATCTTCCCATTGATGTTTAGGACTTCAATTGATCAGTTTCTTATTAGCATATGTACATACTGTGCTGATTGCTTCGATATTACCTTAATTCATAAGTATTTTAAGCAAATGTGGATAGTGGCTAGCAGATTCAAGTAAACAATACCAAGTGAATTTCAACGTCACACCATTCCACAAGCAAATGTCTATCAGGACACAGTAGATAAGTGGATAACGCGATGGATTCGAGTCATAGATTGAACATCAATTTCGAGATGCAGGTACATACAGCTGACTAGTCCAAAATAGGACGAAACGCACATCCTGGATTCCACTGCTAGCTTTTATCCATGTTTCCTTATAAAGAAAGTACTTATTACATCTCCTACCCTTGAATTCTTTATTTCTCTCATAAATTATTAAAATATATCAGTAATACAATAAAATAAATTTGCCTATGACCTTCATTTGTACTTTTATTACTGTAAATTGATTGTAAAATTAAGGTATTTTAAAGAGTTGACTTTTTTCTCCTCATTTATTCTTTTTTTTCCCTTCTTTTAGAAAACCATTTTAAAATGATGATAAACTTGATTTCTAATATTTATCTCATCCAAACGTTTCAATTAAATAACAGTAGTCATTCTAATAACTCCGCCTGGAGTCCCTCTGGAGGCTACTGCCGGTCCCAAGCCCGGATAAAAGAGGAGGGTTTGGCATGGGGTTAGTGACCCCATCCCGTAGAAAACTAACTCGCTAAAAAAACGCTAATCAGTCATTCTAATGGATAAGTAAATATATTTCATCCAACAATCGTTATAATTCAGTAGGAAGATTCAAAAATGGAAGATGGTCGCGCAATTTCGTGGATTGGTTGAGATTAGACATTAACACCGTTGGATGGTCTCGATGTTAAGCGTTCGCGCGCGAGACCCATAGGTCCTGGGTTTGAATCTCGTGAGGCGGGATCGTGGATGCGCACTGTTGAGGAGTCCCACAATAGGACGAGATAGCCGTCCAGTACTTCTAGGTTTTCAATGGTGGTGTAAAATCAATCGGTTCATGATCTCAATCTAATGAAATTACATCAATACACTTCTGTGATGTCTATTGTTATATGAAATGTCAAGCATAGTGAGTAATTAGAGTTCTCTGTTGATTAAATGTAGATGAGTAATAGACAAATATCCTAGTTCTTCATTATTTTTTTCGAAATGCTTAAAGACGAAATGTGAGTGTTGTATTTAGTTCATTAGTTTACGATTTGGGGATGAATCTATCATCCTATTATTTATATTCGCAATTAACAGCGTTCACTAGTATCTCGAGTAAATTGAGAGAAAATAATAAGCATCCAGATACAGATTTGAATACCAAATTGTAAAGCAACAACTTTGTACGGTGAGACGATAATTTATGAACGACCTTTGAGCGACGCTAAAGTGATCTTGAAAGTGTCTACCTACTTACTGGGGTTAAATGATAGTTATAAAGCAGTTTGAAGAATAAGGATTATGATTTACAGTTGATGGTTAAGGTTAGGAGTTAGATTTAAGGTTTTCATCATGAACTGACATAAGCTATAATGCCAAAACTCTATTTAGCCAAATGAGTAAATGAATCTAAGACTTGTTATTCTCAATCTGATTGGTTTGTCCATAAATTATAATCTCACCGACTGACCTCAAGCTAAAGAATAATACTTCATACAGTGTGTTTTTATTAATAAATTTGAATAGAACAAGCAATACAAACATAACTGAATAACATGAATTCATTTTATTCCATGGTTTCTGATCAGCTTCTTACAACTTAAACGTAATAGTGTTGTTCATTAGTTGAAACCGATGTATTTACTTTATATCACAGTATCAGAAATATTTTTACCAATAAAGATTATTAAAACAGCAATAATTCGATTATCAAAATGGGTTTTGTGGAGATTTTTGGAAATTTCACTGGTTGAAATCATGAGTCAATTAAAGATAGACCACCATGGAAAACCTGGAAGCACTGGACGGTCGTTTCGTCCTATCATGGGACTCCTCAGAAGTGCGCATCCATGATTCCGCCCCCCGCGAGATTCGAATCCAGAACCTATCGGTTTCGCGCCAGGCGCTTAACCAAGGAAATTTCTAAAAATCTCCACAAAACCCATTCTGATAATAATCATCTGCTCAATAGTGACTGACTTCAAGAGATACTCCTGGAGTTCTGGTGAGAAGTCGTTATCAGCGGAGTTCAACCAGGTCTGTTTTGAGATATGAACTCACTGAAGACAATGGTGTACGGTGGCGCAACTTCGTGGATTGGTTGAAGTTAGATATCAACACTTGAATGCCGGCTCAGTGGTCTAGTTGGTTAAGCACCTGGCGCGAGACTGATAGGTCCTGGGTTCGAATAGTTCGATTAGTTGACTGTCTTCTTGTTAAACAATATGGAAATTAAGGAATTTTGATTTAATATTCTTTTATTATTATTATGCGCGAATTATCTCGATATTACCATTAAATCACAAGCATGATAACCCACCATCCAACTCTGGTTATAACGTTTGTGACTGAATGCCAATATTTAGGTAATTTGTACATAATGCACATAAACCAAAAGAGACTGATCAATCGCAGCCTTAAACATCAATGGGCGAATTCAAACAACCGACACAAATAAATTATTCAGTTAACTTCAGGTTAAATAGCCAAGTAATTAAGTCACATAAACATATAGACACTTAAGGTGTGGTTTAGGGCTGGGTGCATCAACTTGCGCTTGGATAAATAACTTATCATTAATTATTTCCAGTACTGTCCACAAAAAGACGTTCCTAAATATGCATGAATATTTATTCAAACTTACGGTCTCTGTTGATCACCGTGGTACACAGAATGATCTGGGCTAATATAGGCCGTTTTATCTGCATCTAAACTATTTGATCGATTCATTGCTAGAGTACGACCTGAATTTCTATGTTGTATTGTTTGTCCTCTGGATCCATCGGAAATATATGGTACATTTTGATTTTTTACATTCAATTGGGGTAATTGCCTGGGAAAAAAAAGATTTGATAATTTATTTTCCAGTTTTTTCAAAATATTTCAAACTTTCATACAAGATAACTGATTGATTTATGATATACTCTATCTCTCTTAGCAATTAACAAAATGAATTATAAATGGAATATTATACGAGAAACAGAGGTGTATAGAAAAGAAGCTCCGTTGGAAAGCACAATGTCATACAGTAGAAGATGAGTGGTATATTATAAGTAAGCAAATAATTTAACAGTCCAATGTCACCACATACATATCGGCAACTTATGTTCACGTATAAGTATTATGTCTTATTATACAGCTTCGGTAAAGATTTCTACAAAGTTTTCATTTCCTCTCTCCTTATATAGAGGTCTTCAAGAGTCTGGAAGTTTACATTAAGGATTAAATAAAAACACAGAATACAACACTTCACTTTCAAAGAATATTTACACAGTTTTAATATTTGAATACTGCCAAAACACTTCTTAGCATCAAATATGCAATATGAAAACAGTTTCCCATCTTATATCTACTGTACATGTGAATATTTAAAAAAAAACCGAGTAATTCTGAGCAGTTTTTTTCTCTTATGATACCCATTGCTGTCCCATAATATATTTGATTCATGGATTCTAATATAACTGTCAAGTCTCTAAGGAACAGCTGTAAAGAGAAAGATACTAATCACTATGGTGAATTTAAATGAATTTTGAAGTAATTAACTTCACGATACCTTGTAATCTTTTTAGTAAGGGCGCATTGAGTACAGTATGCAGTTAACATATATCAGCTATTCAGTTGGAAAAAATTCACAACAGGAAACTTATTGTAACATTAATGAGATTATATTACTCATATACTTCATCTTATAGTAGTAAGATATTGTCAAAAATTATATGACTGATTTTCCTTATGATGAAATTAATTATGCAAACGATTTTCTCTGTGAACAAAATAAATATCCCTGATGCTTAGTCATATGAATATATAATAAAATAGACAATCTATTCTTAATCCTTCAGCTAATTCATAAGAAATATTTGATGACATAATGCTACGGAGCTGAAACTTGGAGAACTACTACAACTATCATCAAGAAGGTACAAGTATTTATAAATAGTTGTCTACGCGAGATACTCAACATCCATTGACCGGATACCATCAGCGACAGCCTTCTGTGGGAGAGAACAAACCAGCTTCCAGCTAAAGAGGGAATTAGGGAAAGACAATGGAAATGGATTACGCAAACCAACAAACTGCATCACGAAACAAGCCCTAACTTGGAATCCTGAAGGGAAACGGAAAAGAGGAAGGCCAAAGAATACATTACGTCAAGAAATAGAAGCAGATATGAAAAGGATGAATAGGAACTGGAAGGAGCTGGAACGGATTGCCCAGGACAGGGTTGGATGCAGAATGCTGGTAAGCGACCTATGCTCCTTCACGAGGAGTAACAGGCGTAAGTAAGTAAGTAAGTAATTGATGACATTAAAGTATACCAGGGCAAAACGAGTTCCAGTGGTCCTGAGTTTTCAATAATACCTTAATCTATGATGAAAATCCAAGTTATGAATTAGGAATTCAGTCTCAAATGGTAGTAACATAATAGACTTAGTTTTATACTAAATTACAGAAAATAATTAACAGAAAGCTCTAGTAAACCTGAATAGTTATATCTTTGTTGAAAAATCCCATCAAGTGGAAAACAAACATAGTTGAACAAATCAACTTAGTTGAGAAAACACGTTTTTATTATACTTTTCATTACAAAATTATTCATTTAAAGTGATAATGAAAATTAGCATTGTCATGTCACTACTTACTATCTTAATTATGAGTTATTTTATCGCTTAGTTAAGAAAAGAACACGTAATAACTAGCCGGACTTAAAGTCACAACGGATTGCTTTGATTAATTACTCAAACCATTGTTTAACTAATTTTTTTCGTGGATTGGTTGATGTTAGAAACTAACACTATTGGATGCCGGCTCAGTGGTCTGGTTGGTTAAGCGCCTGGCGCGAGACCGATAGGTCCTGGGTTCGAATCTCGCAGGGAGCGGGATCGTGGATGCACACTGCTGAAGAGTCCCATACTAGGACCAAACGGCCGTCCAGTGCTTCCAGGTTTCCAACGGTGGTCTAACATCAATTGATTCATGATCTCAATCAAAAAAATAATTTTCTAGATTTTTCTCAAGTTTTAATTAAAATCAGTTCACATAACTGGAGCAAAGTCTGTAATTATTTTATAGTTAAATAAGTTATGGAGGTTATGTCAATTTGAAATCAACACTTAATAAACTCTGAAGATAGAAACGACCTAAATGTTTGATCTCAGTCACAGTTGTATTTATGTGTTATAACTTGTGGTCTGTGTGCCCTGTTTATGTTTAACGTAACGATACCGCCAATTAGAGAGCAGTGAATTATCGATCGGATCAGTGACGCATAAAGCCCGAACGAGTAGTTTAGAGTCCTTACTGGTCCTGCTTTCCTCCAAGTCCAGCCATTTAAGTCCAGAACACCAATCTCAGCCTCTGCAACATGAATCATTTATTTCAAGCATACTGGGTTTATATACCAACCAGACAGACTACAAGGTACCATAGAATATGAAATAACATTTGTACAAGAATGAGTCAAATGTGACTGTGAATGAGGGAGGTAGTAATTGATAGACTATAACTCAAGAATGACAAATCGTATAATAATAGTTCATAGGTCAAAATAAAGCTTATGATAAGAGAGACATGAATACGAATAGTTTAGTTGATTAACAATTATACGATAAAAATATAAGTATAGTATCGGTCAACAAATGGATCCTAAAAATTACCATTCATTATGCTTATCGGGACCTAACATTATGAAACTTTCGTCCAAAATCACTAGATTACCTCAAATTATTAGCAATTTCACTACTTAATATGAAAGGAATTATTACGAAATTCCATAGTTTTACATCATGGATTCAACTTAGACAACCACTGGAAATCTAGAAGCATTAAATAGCTATTTAGTCTTAGTATGGGACTCCTCAATCGTAAATAAATACGAGAAATTATACCGAAAACCTTGAGGTTTCACAGTAGTCACTTAACTTTTAGACTACTGAGTTAGTAGCTAATAGTACACGTTACTGCTTTTAGTTAATTCACAATACTTTTTGATTATTATTCATTGATACGAGTGGTATTTATATCACAACCGACATGGATAAACTCCACTGGGACATGGTATCTCACTAAGACTGAGAATTGGATTTTGAAATTAGTCACTAAATGTTACAGTTGAATTTTGTAGGTTTCTATCGCCTATTCATCTTAGATAACTATTACCAACCGAGAATCGAAACTAACCAACCAGTATACAAATTCACAACAAAAATTCTAAGTAAAATGATAGTAATCATTCAACCATGTTAGCATCAATTCCTTCTAAGTTTCATCTAATTACAACGTATAATATTAAAATATTAGAAATACGAACTTATAATATAATTCCATAAAATTGATGTCAGTTACTAGCTAGTGTTAGAGATCAGTTCAACTACATTAGTCATTCCATCATTTTAACAATATCGATTGAGTGGTGATGACTTTTAACAGACCCTTCAACGATCAGCAAATAACTTTGAGATTTGATTATATAATATGAAACTAAAACTATGCTATGGCAGTAAGGGTACCATATCAAAGGAAATGGTATGTTTACTCGATCACTTGGGATTCACTGTCTTACTTTCCCTGATACATCGATTAATTATTTCGTTTGATAAAAAGTAACAAAATGTATCAACGGTAGTACTGGTGTAGTGCTTTAAATTGAGACTCTACATAATGTATAGAATGACGTCTACAAATATCCAGCCGATAAATCCTCAGGTAAATCCTGACGGTTATTTTAATATAGGTATGAATATATGGTAAAAAGATTGCTTAATGTATCTAATATCGATTGCATTTTGGCAGAAAGCTATATGTCCTTCAAACTATGTCAACTTTTGACATCTGAATTAAGTTAAATCCTATTTAACCTTGACATCATCATATACAGACAATATTCACACACACACAAACACACCCATATCAGTTCTCTTTGGGTCCATTGAGTAAGATAGAAAAAGCGTAGGTGTCAAAATACAGAGTATCATTCCGTAATTTGCCTAAATTAATCGACCCAGTATAAAATCAATTGAATGAGAGACTAACTGGAAAAGTGAGCGTCTAACAGACTGTTATATAACTCTTTCCCTCTCTCCATATATATATCTGAGCATGAATACACATAACATACTAAAGTAGATAAATTGATCAATATACATGAAGTAATTGAGCTCATATTTAAATAGTTGATGCGTATAGATAGATAGATAGATAGACAAACTGGTGCTTCTGGTTCATTGACTGGGTCAATTTTTGAAAAAGCTTCTTTTTATTCGATTTCCTCTACATCATACTGTAATGAATTACAACTTAATGATTGAATCGTTTGTTTTGTTTTGTTTTTGTTCGAGATAGATGATATTTAAAGGATAGAAATATCATCAGATAAACTACTTCACAGTTAATGGAAAAGTACACCATCAGCATTAATGTAGAATATAAACAAGTTGGAAGTATCATAATAGGTAGCTTTTATAATTTCTGTATTCAATTTGATTCTAAGACCGTACAACAATAACTAATAACTATTGTTTGTTAAAAGGTTTAATGTTGAGGAAATAATGGTTACTCCATACATTTTCCCATGACTTGAAGCATGTATGATTGGTTTGATGAACCACAAGAGATTCATTTGAGCAGTTAGCTTAAGAGTTTCAGCAGTTCTTAAGTTTTAAGGGCTATTCAATTAAGGTTGCCTTATGAAAGCTACACTCAAAAACCGAAGATGTCATATATATGTTGATTTGGAACTGATAACGTTGACAGTAAATTAACATCTGTCTTCGACTGGTAAGCTAATACACACATATCATCAGCCTGTAAACTTCACCCATCTTGTAAATGAAAGGCAATTTTTTATAATGAATGATCTGTCCTTTGACGACAGTCTCCTAGGTTAATGATATGTACATTACGTGTATAGATCGTCCAGGAGGTTGAATTCAGCATATTTGTAGTTGTTGGTATTTTCTTGAGATGATAAGTGTGCTTCATTAGTATCCTATTCTCTTTATACCAAAATGAATGAACTGTGTGAAGTTTTTTTTGTCTACTATGACGTAATGACATTAGTTAAGCAAACATAGAAGACATGGGACCACGTTGAAATCCAATAGACTTGTTCATTCATCTGTTTTTCACTCAACCAGTTCTCTAAACCTGTGTAAATTCTTCCAATTTTGTAAGATAACCAATCTTTCCAGTCCTATACAATTACCATCCCATCTTGATAGGTCTTCTATGCTTATTTTCGAGTGGTTTGAAGTTTATTGAAACTTTTTAGATCGTCTGTAATTATCACGAAATTTATTTTACCGGTATCCGAACTACACATAATTAATGCCTCAGTCCTTATGTTTTTTTGAATTCCATCTTCAAATGGCTTCAGATTCGTTTATTCATTTTAAATCTTTCCATCATCAAAATTCACTAACCTATATTATGTCATACCTCTAATGTTATATTTTAATATGAATACGGTTGCAAGCAGCTGATAAGAAATCACCAAATAAAATGAATTCATATTATTCTACCTTAACTTCAGTTTAGGCTTCATTTAAACCTTGTCTCAACTTAAAACATTTCGGCAACATGAACACACACATGATTAAACAGTTCACCTTCAGGAGTGAAGTTTCTTCACAAATCATTGAATTTGGGATTTGATGTTCCACATTGCATCATTTAGTTAATATGTGATATTACACCATGATTATTCACTGCCATTCATTGGTTTTATGTAATTTTACTTTAGACACGTTTCAGTTCCTGTTATATCCCGATAAGAATAATGAATAGTAACTTTTGAACCCATTTATAGACCAATATGCGGAGAAGCAGGTTCGCTAAATACTCTAGACTGCTAGTACTGGTTTTATTCGTCATTGGTCCAGTCGATAATTCATTGTCCTCTAATTGGCGGTATCATTACGTTATACATTAATAGGGCACAGGGCCAAATTATAACAGTTTCATAGGACATTTTACGGTTTTTTATTTAATAAAATTCAAGGAATCCATCTTGTTTCTGGGCCTTGATGAGTTATGTACACGAATAGAATACCCGGGATTATTTCTTAATTGTTTGATTTGTAGTCGATGAACTTAAATCCATTGCTGAAGGAAGATTGACCATTATAAAACACTGAATTGTATACCGAAAGACTGGAAGTTCAATGTAGTCATTCCATACCGTAGTGAAACATCGGAAGAAATCAAAAGGATTTTAAACAAACATGATATAAAAGTGTATTTTCAGGTTTGTGACACCATAAGATCAGCATTAGTGAAAGTTGAGGATAGGTTCCCAAAGGAAGAACAGCAGAATATTGTTTATGAGATCAACTATTATGATTGTAATGCAGATTATCTGGGAGAAACTTCCAGACAGTTGAATGTGAGGTTGAAGGAACACAAGCAATGTTTGGAAAATGTTCCTAAATCCTCTGTTGATCTAAAGAAATTTGAGAATAGGTCGGCGATAGCGTTACATGCATTGGAAACAGGACACACGATCAATTTTGAAAGGAGGAAAATACTTCAGAAAGGTTTTAACACTCACAAAGAAACATTGATAGCAGAAGCGCTGTATATATGGGCGAATAAGAACAGTCTGAACAAAACGGACGGTATTCAACTAGCAACTACATGGAAAATATACGTTTAATGACTTCTCTATACTCCTCGCCCAATTTTTGTCAAATTATTCGTTCTAATATTGACGAATATTTGGGATCGTGGGTGCGCACTGTTGAGTAGACCAATGCTTCCAAGTTTTCCATGGTGGTCTAGCTTCAATTGACTCATGATTTCAACTATTAAAATTACTATAATATTCACAAAAACCCCTTTTGATATTAAAACTCAATCCATCTAAAAAGCCATAGAAATCAATCACTATGCATGAAGCTTTTCTACATGTGCTTTACTTCAATACTATTAAATAAATAGTATCCATTTAAACAAGAATAAGACAAAATAACAATTAAAAAAGCGAGTACAACTATACCTTTTAACATCTGATGATTTCGGTTTGGAAATAAAATCCTTAATACTTTCACCCAAACGTCCAGTAATACTACTATTTATTGAAGATTCCATATGATGAGGTAAATTCCCACCAGATGTTACTATTTGTCTATCTGATGTGAGATTTTGTGCGCATTGTTTACAGACCCAGTGAACCTTGAAAAAAGGAACCAAGATTTAAATATACATGTTTTCAACTGTCATATATAATTAATTTGAAAATGAATTTTTGCCACTAACTGATACAAACTAGTCCCTAGTTGTGAACTAAACAAAGATGGGGAAGGTACTACTCATCTGGATACAACCAGTATTATATATGTGAAGTTATAAACAACAAGGTTATCGTTTTCTAGTTCCTATTAGGATTTTATTAGTTTTTTGTTAGTACCGGTTCTTCAAGAAATTCAATTCCGAATCGTATAGATTGTATCTTTCCAAAATCGAATAAGTTTATTCTTATTCGCGCTTTCAATTATCTGTTGTTGATACACTGGGATATTAAACAAAGATGGATGGTGACTAGCAGCGGAATCCAAATTATGCGCTTCATCCTATTTCAGACTAGTCAGCTGGATGTACCTGTATCCCAGAGTTGACGTTCATTCCGGGACTCGAACTCAGTACCGTTCACTTCGAACTCCATCGCGTTATCAACTTACCTAGTGAGTCCTGATAGCCATTTTCCTAAGTAATGGGACGAAATTTAAATTCATTTGGTATTTTTTTGATCTTCCCATTGATATTTAGGACTGCAATTGATCAGTCTCATATTAAAAATATTAGTTTCCCAATCGCTTTGGAACATGTATATCGCGTCCAGATGGCCTTCATATTGTTATTTAGTCAAGAATTTCAAATTAAGGCTGAACAGTGGGTAACAGTGTAATTCAGGAGGTGTGCTTCATTCAATTTGAAATTTGTCAGTTGAAAGTGCTGTATCCCAATGCTGATATTCTCATAAGAACTCAAACTCAGCATCCTTCGTTCTAAACACCTAACCCGTCACCTACTGCGCTACTGAGCCAAATACATAGACGAGGGATATTTCCGGACTCTCCAAAAACTTAGTAGACGTACTTACTAATTAATCACGTATTTATAATAATTCACAAGCGTTATAAGCAAAGATGGATAGTAGTTAGCAGTGGAATACAGTATGCGCGTTTCGTCCCATACCAATACCAAGTGAATTTCAACGTCACACCATTCCACAAGCAAGCGGCTATCAGGACATGGTAAGTAAATGCATAACGCGATGGAGTTTGAAGCGAACGGTGGTGGGTTCGAGTCCCAGAGTGAACATCAATTTCGAGGTGCAGGTACATACAGCTGACTATTCCCAAATACGGCGAAACGCGTATCCTGGATTCCATTGATAGCCACTATCCATCTTTGTTTATATTGTTCGTCAGTTAATTAAATTAACTTTTAGGATATTCATCGATCGGTTGTTAATTGTGACTAAGTTACCATCTTCAAGAGATGATCACGCTTGCATTATTGTTACAGTCAAATCAAACTTTACTAGATAGAACATTTTTTCTTGTAAGTGTTACTAAGCCAGTCAATTAGTGGATGATAAGTAAAACAAAACAGACTTTATAATTACAGACTGTAATTCAGTATTATGGTGGTAATAAAGTATTTTCCATAGATCAATCTACTGAATTTCTAGCATTCATCCTTTCCTATGGATAAAATAACTGTTTAGAAAGATGATCAGTCTAAAAAAATATCAAATCATCTCTTATCATGTCAACTGTGTTTATCAGTAATGAATCTTGTACTCTTATAGATGATAGCATTGAAAACCGAAATTTTAAAAACTTTTCTTCTCAAGGAAGAAATAGATGAAAACTCTTTTTAATATTTTTGAATTTTAATAGTTGAGATCATAAGTCGATTGAAGATAGATCACCATGGAAAACCTGGAAGCACTGGACGACCGTTTCGTCCTATTGTGGGACTCCTTAGCAGTGCGCATTTCTTAGTAAAAAGAAACATGCTTTGAAGACCAAAGAACTTGTGATTCACATTTATATGGACCTTTTAAAAGACAGCTGTTTGTTTCGTTGAATAAATTAGGGGATAAATATACATATTTACTATATTTAGAGATATCCTTGTTTATTTGAATACAATTTTTGAAATTTCACAATATTTCAATTTGTATTCTAAACTTACTATATTCGGTTTGATTTCCATGTGACCTCCACATCTGGTGCACGTCCTACGTTTGCAATAAATACATGGATTTCCAGAAACGTCAGCAAATTTAGTTTTATGGCATGATTCACATACATTCACTGAATGACTAGCACTAAAACCACCAGTGGTTCCTGTACTGCCTCCAGTAACAGCGTGTGCAGCTTCAGCCATTAAATTGACTACTGTATTACCAAACGGTAATGAGGTATTTGTGTTGCTTGATGAGGATAGTTTAGTCACATTCTTACCATTAACTGTGGCAATATTGATTGGAGATTTTTCACTGGGATTAGTTATATGTGTTGAGCGTGAAGTGATGATTGGATCTCTGATACTTTGATTTCCTACAGGTATGGCTTTGCTGTAGAGGAAAAAAAAAACAAGAAACAAACTTTTGAGAAAGTTAGTTTTTTGTCTTAAAAATTTTGTAAAGTGACTATATCCTAATAAAATGATACACTTACTAAGGTAAATATCAGTCCATTATTCTCTATAGTCTTTTGCTTATTGAAGCTAAGCAACTTAAACTTAAAGATTCAGATAGTATCTCCAATGAACATGCGAACCGAACTTTTTATGTTATTAGCTGGTTAAGTTACTGAGCTTCTTAAAAACTTTGCGTTTCCTTAAAAGAGTTTTCAATGTTTATGGATTATGGTTTTACGAGTATGACATTGTTGTACAACAAAACTGAACACTATTTTCTTCATGATGGTTATCAAAAGCTTGTAGAATGGTGTGTCGTGAGCCATCCAGTTCGTATGAGGCTAGTCTATGAGAGCTGTATCACAGCAATGTCCTCACAAAGTCGGTAGAGATTATAAGCTGATGTTTGAAGAGTAAGTCGATCACAAGTTGTGTTACCATCTTTTCTTATCAGAATCAGTCGACTTGTGCTTAAAATGCACTGTAGTCTTGATATAACAGCGTGGAACGATGTTGAAATGTGAAAAAATCAAATGATATGGTTAGTGGAGAGGTTGACTTTTAGAGAATTCCATAAATCTGTGTTAAAAAGATCTTTTGGTAAATTTTAGAATAGGACAGTACAATCAGTGGAGTCAATCAAGTCATGAGTAAGACAGCAATATATATATATATATATATATATATATATATATATATATATATATATATATATATATATATATATATATATATATATATATATGAAGAAAGACAAAAGTACAAAGGATGTGGGAAATAGTCATAATAATGGAAATACTAGTGATAACTATTAGTAAAGGAATCAGGAAGAGGCACTGGAAGTGAATAGGACACACATTGAGGAAAGCACACAACTGTCTCACAAGGCAAACCCTCACATGGAATCCTCAAAGGAGAAGAGGAATGCCAAAGAACACATTACGCTGAGTAATGGAGACAGAGATGAGAAGAATGAACAACAATTGGATAGAGCTAGAAAGGAAAGCCGAAGACAGAGTGGATTGTAGAATGCTGGTTGGCGGCCTATGCTCGATTGGGGGTAACAAGCGTAAGTAAGTGAGTAAACTCGCTTTTAAAGTTTATTCTCCCAAGGAAGGGTTAGGAGTGTTAATATCTTAATATATATGTAGGAATATCTATATTTGTGTGAAAAAAACCTTACATATATTTTTACTTGTTCACCTTTCTTTATTCATATTGTTTTAATTTACATGAAAATAAGTGAATAGTTTAATCGTGATTTAAAGTTTATACTGTTAGCGAAAGAAAAAAAACAGCAATAAGTTTACTTTAAGGACAAATATATATATATATATATATATATATCACTTCCATTCACCTTAGTAATATTTTTGATTGAGATGAAAACAATAATACTGACGTATAATCAATTTCATTCGTTGAGATCATGAATCAATTGAAGCTAGACCTCTATGGAAAACTTGGAAGTACTGGACGGCCGTTTCGTGATATTTTAGGACTTCTCAGCAGTGCGCATCCACGACTCTGCTTCACGAGATTTGAACCCAGGACCTGTGTGTCTCGTGAGCGAACGCTTAACCTATAGACCACTGAGCCATCATTTAACGGTGTAAATGTCTAACTTCAACTAATCTACGAAATTGAGTGATACATCCACCATTGTCTTCAGTGAGTTACTATCTCACAACAGACCCTGTTGAACTCCACTGGTCACTACTTCTCACTAGAACTCCATGAAATACCTCTTGAAGCCAGTCAATAGTGAGCATATGTGAGATCGTGGATTTGCACTGCTGAGGAGTCTCGCAATGGGATGAAATGTCCGTCCAGTGCTTCCAGTTTTTCCATGATTGTCTAGCTTCAATCGACTCATGATCTCAACTATTAAAATTACGATAATATCCATAAATACCCCTTCTGATATAATCAATTGTATATTGACGAAAAAGAAATTAAACCGAAATAAATTTGTAATTTCCTATTTACGAACAGTTCTTTTTACAATTCCACTTATTATTACAACATGATCATCCGTATATATAAAGTATTACGAGATGGTGGTCAACTCAAACTTATGAATTATTCAATATGCAATTTGAAAAATACTTTCAGGAATTTTTTTAGTGTTTACATTTATTTGAACTGACTAAATGGTGGTATATTGAAATGGTTGAATGTACTCAAGAACAAATCAATAAGCTAGATATTACAAAATTCAAGATGATACACCATGGTGATTGATTCAACTTCATCCTTACTTGTATTTGGAAGAGACGAGAAGAGATTAGACTGAGGTTTATAAATCAAATATATATGTTGGAGTGAAAAAAATATCATATGAGAAAGCTAGTTATAGATTATTATTAGGATTATCAACAATTTGCCTAATGCTCAAATTATCCAGTGTCACCTTTGCAACTGTATCTACAAAAACTAGTAGAATAAGCTTTGTGGATGAATATATATATATATATAATGGGTTGTTATAGTCTCTACAGTGCATAAGTCATAAGTTTATGTTCGTTTCGAAACAAATCGTGTGACTGTACAGATGATTTTAAAGAACTTATCAAGTGAGGTAGTTCCGTTGTAACTTATGGTAGTATATGATACAGGTCGTAGAATTTAAATGACTATCAAGATAACCATTAAGACGATTATATCACTTGTTAACGACGGAGAAGCTTTGGAAGATGTAAAAATCTTTGCAAATCTAGGCAGCATCACTGATGAAAACGGTGGATTTGATGCAGATGTGAAGGTGCAGATCAGTAAAGCAAAAGCAGCATATTTACAACTGAGGAACATCTGGAACTCAAAACAACTGCTAACCAATACCAAGGTCATAATTTTCAATACAAATGTCAAGACTGTTCTACTGTATGGGGAGGAAACTTGGAGAACTACGAAAGCCATTGACCAGACACTATCAGCAACAATCTACTGTGGGAGTGAACAAACCAGATTCTAGCAGATGAACAACTCAGAAAGAATTGCTGGAAGTGGATAGGACACACATTGAGGAAATCGCCGAACTGCGTCACAAGGCAAGTCCTCACTTGGAATCCTCAAGACCAAAGGGGGAGGAGGAGGAGGAGGAGAGGAAGACTAGAGAACACATTGTGCCGATTAATGGAGATAGACATGAGAAGAATGAACAACAATTGGATATAATAAGAAAAGAAGGCCCAGGACAGAGTGGGTTGGTGAATACTGGTCGACGGTCTATGCTCGATTGGGGGTAACAGGCGTAAATAAGTAAGTAAGTAACATAGTTTCGCTCATCTCAATTCATGTAAACAACTGTGGACATGAGTTCGATTGGGAAAATGCCAAAATATTGCTCAGAAGAAGGACAAAAAAAGCCAGAGAATTTTCTTAGGTTTGGCACTTCAATCAAACATTCACTATTAGACATATTGAAATTAACCAAATCTATCAGCTAATAAGAAAAAGGATTCACACGTACAAAGTCAGAATTCAGGTTAGGTTACCTACATATTGAATAACTTTCTCTCTCTCTCTCTCTCTCTCCCTATGTAATAAATCTTTCCTTCGGGATTAACTTATTCAAAATGTTTAACTAAACCAACTGCTTATAGATTTTGTGAGTGAATAAAAAGGACAATAACAGTAGTGTTATGACAAGATAATTATGCAACAACAAAAAGAAATTAGAATAGTCAAAATGTTTCACATTCTAACCATATACTTTTCTCTTTCTTTTTCTCTAACCAATTCAGTGTTAAACATAAAAAGTAAAATTTTCATAATTTCTAGATTTCAAATGGTTGTTGATAAACAAACAAAGTTTTAATAAAGCAAATAGTAACAACCAATTAAAATGAAAAACAAAACAAAACAACAAAACTTCCGGTTTGTTAATAAGTTGTATTACAGATAATTACATAGAATCAAATTCATTTTAGTATAATTAAGTTAGAAAACATTGAATATAAGTAATGATAATAAGTATATGAAATTGAATTATAATTATGTTAAATGATTAAATAAACATCGGTTACAATTAAAAGATCTTTCATCTTTGATTGAGATCATGAATTGATCAATGTTAGACCACCATTGAAAACTTGGAAGCACTAGACATCCATTTCGTCCTAGTAAGGGACTATTCAACAATACCCATCCACGATCCTGCAATTGGGATTCAAACCTGAGATCTTTGATCTTGCACACGAACTCTTAACCTCTAACTTCAATCAGTCCACGATATTGCGCAACCCCACTGATCAGGGCTTCTTACTAGAACTCTGAGAATAACTTTTTGAACCTAGTCACGAATGAGCAAATTGATCGGTTCATGGTCTCAATCAAAATTCAACAATCTCCACAACTCTATACTGATATCTTTCAATTTATTGGTCATGAAGAATTAACCAACTAGCCATGACCAGTGGAGCTAATCCATGTCGGGTAGAGACAGGTATCTACCTCAGTATAATGGTAAGACGCTACTGTGGTTGGATGGAGGCTCAGTGGCTTCGAGGTTAAGCGTCCGAATCCCGCGAGCAGGATCGTGGGAGAATTGTCACAATAGGACGAAACGGCCGCCCAGTGCTTCCAGGTTTTTAATGGTGGTCTAACATCAATCTCTTCATGATCTCAATGATTAACTAACTTTTGATAGTTTAATGAAATGGTTGCGTCTCAGGTAAAAATTCTCAGTAATATACATAGATTAATCACTGGATAGAAACTAATGTTACGTTTTTTGTTATTACAAGCAATGTTCTGAACTAAGATACTGAGTGATATGGATTCGAATCACACGATTATTATTAGTCTAATTGAAGTTCTAGATGCTACCTACACAAATCCTACATTCATAATTTTTTTACCGAAAAGAAATTCAACCTCTACTTTATATTTTTAAACAATCTGTATTATATTAAAGTTGATATTTTATTAAAA